CATGAGCTTTCATCCCTCAAATCACACTCACACCTTTAGACATAGAAATTTTAATTAAAATGTCTAGAAGACAATTTCTAGTGCGTTTATGGTATTGCCTTATAATCTCTAAATGTCAAGGCCAAACATTTGACCGAGTCACAATACACTTGTCATATCTAGTTTTCACCCATGACCAACTTTATATGGCTTTATCAAGATGCACATCACCAGCAGAATTAAGCATTAAAGTACAGAACACATCACTCTAAGGATAGTTATTCCCTTTGAGTCCTTTTACTTTCACTATCAACACAGTATATAAGAACGTTTTATCCTCCATGTATTGTTTATAGCACTAAAACAAATTCTTAATATAAATTAATGAACAAATAAAACAGCCTACTAATAGGACAGCATATGCTAGGCAAGTGCTAGTAATTATAAAACTAAGAAGATTGTAAATATAAAATATTTCTAGCCAACATTATTCCAAGATATAAAAGAATGGTGTAGGTCATGTCATATTTATCAAGTCTTTCAGAAGAATCCTTCAAACAAGAAGTCTTTATTCAATTTTGTCAACATGATCATTTGAGCAATAGGGTATAAATATTGTAGGACCAATTGTAGTGACATCAAGTTATAAAAATCTATCCTGGTGGCAATAAACTACCTTACTAAGTGGGCTAAAGCAATAAAAATTAAAACCAACATCAAGGAAGTTGTGATAAACTTTCTTGTTTAAAATATATGCATAAGGTTTGGTTGCCCATTAGAAATTGTTATTAACTAGGGTTCATATATATCTACTATCCAAAAGCTAATGGGTTGGTGGAGCTAATGTGTATTGTGCAACATTTTAGGAAAGTTGACTGCTGAGAAAAATAAAGTTTGGGATAAATAGAAAATAACAACATTATAGGTTTACACAACCACACATAAGGTAGTAATAAATTTCACTTCTTTTCAACAAGTTTATAAAATAGTAGCTATACTTCCAATTGAGTTGGAAATCTTAAGTCTATAATTAGTGTTTAAGCATGGAATAAGTGATAAGAAGGACTTGTAATTGAGGCTCATTCAACTTGAGAATCAATGTTAGCTCTTCAATATACAAAAACAGTTCAATAAAATAGAAAGCATAGATGTGATAAGAAATTTATAAAAGCTTTATAAATGGAAATCTAATGAATTATATTTGCTTGTAGATTTTAATGAAGAACAACAGAACACCTTAGTGCATGGATATAAATGTTCTAACTTCAACTATAAAACAACATTATCATTAGGATGTAAATAACCTACATGACTTATAGCCATGTGGCTTGTTTGGGTGGGATTATACAACCAAAAATGGCATGTTTAAAGTCAAGATGTCTGGATACAAGGTATGTATATACAAAACCATCCTCCTTATACCTCTACCATCAATTTTTCCTTATAATTTTAAAGTTGAAGTCAAAGTATAACTACTCTTTCCTTTCTATATCTTATATTTGTTCTATTACTTATCCACTTTACTTTATCACAAACCTTATATTCCACCATCTTTATAAAATAAAACTCTTATATTCAAGTATACCCTCCAACTTTGTAAAAGTTTCTACCACCATTCAAAAAATATTTCCTTGTGTAATATATGTATTCACTAATAGTCATCTAAATTTGCCACCTTTTCTACACCAATATTTTATGATACTAACAACAAAACATAAAATATATTCTAAGGACTATATAATGAAGAGCATTGAGTATGAAGTGATTTTAGTTTTGTAATATTCTTTTTTGATCCTTACTTCCTTAAAAAATGTAAAAATTACAATTTAGTAGAAATCCCTCTCCTCTCTCTTTCTCTCAAAGCACAAAGTATATAAAAATAGTGTGCCACTAACCACTAAATTCAAACATAATGATTTCATAATTGTGTAAAGAGAAGCTGAAAAATTAATGAAATATTTGTCAACTCTTTTATTAAAAGATTTATTCTTGATTACATCATTGCTCTGAAATTCCCTCTAAAGCACACCTAATGGAGTATGATGCATAAGTTATAGAAAAGATCATCTAAAGTCTTGCATTAGAGAAGTGAAATTTATCCTTCCTTGGCAATGATCATGGCCATATCTTCATTTTTGTCCTTGAACACAAGTAGCAACAATCATCAAAATTCTATCATGTCTCATGAAAAGTAAACATATATAGTTACAAATAGGAGAGATATGTTTCATAGCATTGTGCTACTTGAAAAGTATCATCAAAGTGGTTAGTGCAATTGCATGTATAAATCACATAAGATCTTGATAAAGTCTTAAATAACCCTTAATGAAGACAATGCAATTGCACAATCTCAAATGCATGCTTGAAGATATTCAAGAAAAAAGCTTTAATTACCATACCATTGTAATGCCATCTTTTGAAAATATGTAAACATTAAACATTGGCATAAGATAAGTGGCAATCATTATAAAGTGATTAAATGAATGATACACATCATCTATAGAATTCCAAAGGAAAAAATATAGTTTATGCAAGGATTAGCAATAAGAGCAAGAGAAGTTACATCATACACTATGAATGCCACCATCATCTAAGTGCATAATATCATATTTATTAGATACCAATTTTAAATAAAATATAAATTAAGATAAGTAATTGATAATTGATTAAAAAATAAAAAATTGCTACACATTGCATGTAGAAATATTTGATGTGCTTAATAGTAGTGTTATTCTTACTTATTAATCCAATTGATCAAATAAAGTTTATAATTATAAGCACGTTTGTAATTTATAAACACAAGATTAATCTTATTGCATATCAACCATTAGATGATAAAATAAAAAAGAATATACTAGAAAGGTTTTAAGAAATTTTATAAATTATAAAAATATTTATAAATTATAAATATAAGATTAATCTAAATGCATAACAACCATTAGATGGTAGAATATCCTAGGATATCCAAGTATATTTTATATATATCCACTACCATCCTAGCCCCCCTACAAGTTTGTTTAAGCAAACAAAAAATTCAAAGAGAGAATATTGAAGATTATATCATTTTTCAACCATCATTCAGTTTCTATTTCATTAGTTTCAATAAGCATCAAAACATTATTTATAAAAGATAATAAGACCATACAGCCCTTTTTTATTTGCAATTTTTCCTGAATTTCAAGTAAATTTATTCTCCCTTTGTATTTTGTGTCAGAACTTATAATAATTTTAGTGTTGTGATAACTGCAAATGATGTGTTTAAATCAGACATTCAAAATAATTCTTTTGTACAAACACATAAGTAGCCTAATGCAATTTTTCAGAATATTTGAACAAAAGCCTTTGGAAAGTTTAAGAAATATTTTAAATATCCTCGACTCAATATTTGTGGATTTTTTGGTGTTAGCAAATGAACTTTACCAGATATTGGAGAAAAATCCATAATGAAGATAGGCTTAGATCTAGAAATGCAATTTAATTTACACCATAATGATAAATGAAAGGTATACTGCCATTTCTAAGTACATCTATAGTAGAAGAAAGCACTCCTAAATTATTTCACAAATATAAAGAATGAGCTAGATAATTTCAAGAACTTTATCTCTGTATGGTGACCTTAAGTAAATAATAAATCGAGGTTAATTTCAAGTATATGTTGTATCCAATAAATCAAGTGGCTATAATAAAAATAACTAAAGACCACGATATAAAAATGAAAAAATAGAAAAAAATATATTGTTTCCATTTTTATTTTGGTACCAGGGATTACAATCAACTTCTTCAAGAAGTTCCTCCTTTGAATTTGCGACTTGCAGACTTGCAAATAGAAATTGCCTAAAGCTGAGATGTTGGAGCCTATAGAACAAACTCCCATTGAAAGGTTCATACTCAATTTCCTCACCAGCTTGAAAGTGAGCTCAAATGCACTTGCTATCACCACTTTTGACATTGTCCCAGCCAAGCCTATACCCCATTTTGTTACGTTTCACCTTATTTGACTAAATCACAATTTGACTCAGGAAAATGCCCGCGCAATCTCGGCCGCCAATCAAGAACAACGAAAAACACAAACCAGTCTCCTTTGATGGTCTGACAAAAGAGTCCTATCAAAACTCTCCACATCGCTCTCATATATAAGCTTCTCATGGAAACATAACGCTTTTATTCAAAGCATTGCTCAGTCGATCCACAATCATAGAGAAAACTTCATTGAAGGACGATGGAAAAGCTCATATTGTTCTCGCTGTTCTTGTCCATTGTCTCACGCTGCTTCGCTCAACTCGGCCAGACGAATGGTAGTGATTTTTCTGTAAACTTAAGCTTCACTGGTCCTCCATCACCAGGAACTTCATTGTCAGTCACTTGGTTGAACTCTCCAAGAAACTCCTCCACTGCTGTTCTCGCCAGCACTTCCGCTTCTTTTTGCCAGATCCAGATTCAAGCCACCAACACGCCGGTGCTGATCGGCCAGCCAACGCCAATCTTCTGGAGCTCGCCTTGCGCCCCGGGCCTAAACTGTTCCTCTCGATTCCAAGTCAACGGGAGCTTGGAGCTCGTCGTGATGGAGGAGGTGGTGTGGAGCACAAGCACAGATGGGAGAAATGCGAGCTTTGCGAGGCTCAGCGATGGTGGAGAGCTCTCACTTGTGACGTCCTCTAACCAGGTTGTATGGACGAGTAAGGATGGGCCACTGGCGGGGCTTTGTTTGATCAGACAAAGCAGTGCCGGATCATCCCTTGCAGTTCCTTGCGGCTTATTGATTCTGCTCGGGTCACTCCTTCTAGCGCTATGGAAGAGTGTGTAGATCTTCTATCACAATAAAATTCTTCCACCATTCCTTAAAAGATATCTCAGTGATCCACTAAGTCGATTCTTTGTCAGCTCTATAGATATATGTGAAGAACTAACTACAAGCACAAAGTGGGCGGTAGAGATTTGCCCGGGTGGAAAAATCATATCGGCTCACAATGTGCCAAGTTGATGCTTATCGGCTGTCCATGTGTCTTCCTTCTATCGTTAGACCCTAATCACTTGGCACTTGCCATGGAAGGTCTTTAGCTAGGTTTCTCGGATCGATCCATTCCTCCATGGCGTCGCTCGATCACAGGGAAGCACGGCGAGCACAGGTGCGCTGGGCTAGAATCGAGGGGCTGAGCCCGGTGTTGCCGATTCCACGCGATAATCTGGGCCTCGGCGGTGCTGGATTGGGATTCGCGAGCATCAGCTTGTTTGGACGCCGCAAGCCAGAGAATGCGGGCCGGGAGGAGGCTGCTCCGGCTCAAGCGGTGCCATACTCGCCGAAGCGCGGGACGTATGCGCATGACGCTCTACAGCGGAGGTTTAAGGTGGGATTTTAGATTGTTTTGTTTATTCCCATGCCGTGACGAAGGAAGATCTTTGTCTTTGGCTCTTTCAGGAGCTGGACAAGCAAAACGCTGGGCACATAAGCGAGAATGATCTGAAAGCGGTGCTCAAGAGCCTCAATCTCCCATCGTCGGAAGAGGTACTAAAATTCGGTGCTGTTAAGTGTTTGTTTTCTATTATCTCTTTGGTGTTGTGACGTTTTCTATGCACAGAATGTTCAAGAGTTTCTCGATTCGCTTGGTGGCAATACTGTGCCATTTGATCAGTTCGCGGAGTACGCTGTTAGCCGAGAAAACCTCCTGTTTGATACCTTCAGAGAGCTCGACAAGAATAACGTACGAATCATATCATGTCCGTCTAGTTCTTATTGTTCTCTGTTGTCTGTTTGGCTTGCAACAGACAGGATACCTTACTACGAACGAAATAAAAGCCGCGTTGGTGAAATACAAGTTCCGGTAGGCTGTGCAAAGTATGTGAATTGCGAAGTCTCTCTCTCGGTTTTCTTTTTTTTTTTTGCGTTTCAGGTTTTCGGACAGTGATCTGCAAGCACTTGCTCGGACCTACAGCAAAGTTGGTGCTGGTCCTTTTGATGAAAACCAGCTCTTTGATTTTGCTGATTACAGGTAATTCATATGCATTCTCGGTACTGGTGGTTGCGACTAAGAACTGAATTTTTACTGCAGGAATTGCTTGATGGCGTACAGTCAAAAGGATCTGATAGACGCGGATCAAGTTTGGGCTCGAGCTGCGATAGATGTAGGGGACGTGGATACATCTTTCCCTCTTATATCTGCGAAGAAAGGAAAAGCTGGCGACCTCCTCCTGTCGAAGGACAAGATATTGAAGCATTTGTCTCTTGGTGTGCTTGCCTCCGCAGTAACGAGGACGCTCGTGGCACCTCTGGAACGTGTGAAGGTACTACTCTTTTCACACCTTCCGAACATGACAAGAATTTGTTTGGCTGAAATTGCAGCTTCTCTCAACGGTGGATTCCAATATTGCTTTTGGGAAGGCTTTCGAAGAAATCCGGAAGTAAGCGGTTCTACTTACCTGGTTGCAGTTGCTGACATCACTTAGTGCTTGACTGCAGGGACGAGGGGTTTCAAGGACTTTTTAGAGGCAACTTACTGAATGTGGCCCGCGTGATTCCAACCAGGGTGCGACTTGCAAAACTCAAATTTGTTTCGCTTTGTTGACTGTTTGCATGTGTAGGTCGTGGAGTTCCTTGTTTATGACAAACTTAAAGAAACGCTGCTGAGTAAAAGAAAGCAGTCAGAGATTTCTAATTTCGATCGCTTACTTTTGGGGACGTTTGCGTCTATGGCTGGTGTTATTGCGGGGTATCCTCTGGATACCATGAGAACGGTTCTAGCGTCACAATTACCAAACAGGCATGTGGACGACTTGATGGTAAAATCTGCTTTGGACAATGGCGGATTTCTAAACTTGTACAGAGGCCTTATACCCAACTTGGTACGTAGTTTTACGAGCTGCGCTGTTTGCAATCTCTGATCCCTGAGTGTTTATTTGGCAGGCGAGGGCAGTACCATATACTCTGATAACTTTCACTGTATTTAATCATTTGCAAGAACGTCATAGACAAAAGACTGGTCCTGGTGGCGAGATTAAAACTTCCGTGGATGCTTTATTCGGGTAAGCGTTGTCTTACATTTTTGTGAAACCTGGTTTGACACGCGCTTGGCCATTTTCCACTTTAGGATAGTGGCGGCTACGGCGGCACAGACCCTGGTGCATCCTCTCGAAGTGGTTCAACGGAGGTTGCAGGTATCGTTGAGAGAACTTTGACCTGGATTAATTACTTGTACAGGCTGAGACTGCAAAGCAAGGAGTACTGGTATACAATAACATGATAAATGCTTTCCAAGTTATCCTTGAAAAGGAGGGTGTAAATGGCCTTTATTCAGGTATGTCGTGAATACTTTCGTTCTGTTTTGACTTGAGAAATGTTACAGGGTTGGCCGCAAGCTATGTCAAAATTGTTCCTGCGACTGCGATCTCCTTACTCCTGTATAAAGCGCTCAAAGAAAAGCTCGACGATAGGCAGAGGCGATAAGGTACTGCACGGTTTGTTTTCTGAGTGCCTCAAAATGGTTCATCTGCAGGTTTGGCGAGTCACGTGTTCACTGTTTTAGCTGCTTCCATTGTGGAAACTACTTATTGAACCACAGCTTCCGAAAACAGTTTGAACGACTTGATTAGTCACACGACTTGGGAGCCTGAAAAGGAAGGCCTTCAGGTATGCCTTCGGCAATATACGCTGAAAACCTTGTTTCTTTGGAATTACTAGATTTGCTCCTGCAACTAGCAAAGTCACCTGGTTCTATATCCACAAGACCATTAGAAGTAAAGTTCACGTACTCAATGAGCTTATCTCTCCGGTATGCGCCTGTACTTCTTTTGGTTTTTGCACGCGATCTTTGTGTCTTGTGCAACGTTTGTACATTGTTTAAGACGGTTCTCTGACGAAAAGTTGCACAAGGCATGACGATTGCGAGATGTTTCGAAGGCTAGAGCATAGGCTTGCTGGTAGTGGTCGGCAATGGTGATCTGGAGGAGAGTATTCTAAGATGATCGCGGCTGGCTGGTGACAATAGTTCCCGCGGCTAGATAGGCAGGAAGTTGAAGCGTCACGCTTGAGAGTTCCGGGTAGCAGAAGGAACACAGGGACATTGTTGGGGCTGCATATGGACAGGATCAATCAGGGAAAAGCTAGCTAGCAGCAAAGCGAGCTGTGGTACCGTCGAAATGAGAAGTTGGCGAAATGTGACGAAGAAGGGTCGTCCAACAGAAGGGACGTATCAAAGTCCGGGAAAATGGAAAGACCCAAGGAAAAGGAAGGCGGAGGCAGCCACGCGTTGGACGCAGACTGGAAATTCCAATGAATGCGCGTGTTGGGCGTCTCCAGACAACGACGAGGACGTTGATAAGTTAAATCAATATGAAGTACCAGGTAGCAAGCAAGCCAAGCAGAAGAGGCAGGGGGAGAGGAAAATCACAAGAGAAATGATAAGCTCCGCGATTAGAAGGCTGATGGTGGTGCATTTGGTGACGAGGAAAGGAGGCAGCAGAGTAGCAGCAGTAGCAGTGGCAGAAACAGCAGTAGCAGAGGAGCAACTCATCAGGCACAGACCACCTCTTTAGTGTTTTTCTTTTATGCTGTTCTTGCTGGCTATGGTGGGGAGAGGTGGGAAGCTTGGGGAAGTGTCACATACACAGGGAAGAGAAAGAACAGATGAAGGATTGAAGAAGAGGAGGCTGCTGTTGTACTAGACACACTCTAGTACAGAGGTTTGGACAGAAGGTCATAATTGGCATCATATGAATTCTCATCTCATGCAAGGAAAAACAGCAGCATTTAATAGCTGTCATGTGGCACACAAAGCTCACACACACACTCCCACACACTAAGTTTGGGAGCTGGCATTGGTGGGGAGAAGAGGCAGGCATTGTTTGCATGCTCAGTAAATGAATGCCCAGGATATTCTCTTAGCTTGTAAGAGCATCATTGCATGGTTCCCAAGTGGAAAGGTGGTGGAGTTTTGGGGGTTAGAGACCTCTAGAGAGAGATTAGAACACATGTTTGCTATCTGATCGTTGGGGGCCATGAATTGATGAACTTCTTCACCCTCTGTGAAAAGGATTGTCTGTGTACACAGCCAGCAAGCAAGCAACCAGGGGTTTCAACTTTACAGTATTTATTTGCATAGATTAGGAGGAGCAGAGAGGCAAGGACAAATTTGTTCCAGGCTAGTGACAATGGCAAGGCTCTCAACCAAGAACAAGAACAATTTCTCTTTGCAGCAGCAACAGTCAAATAGTGGAGGGGAGACTGCTGTTGCTGGTGCCACCCAATGTTAGGCTGGCCGCCTTCACTACCCTTGCTCTCAACTCTTTCTCTCTCATTTTATAAGACAACTGTTGGAATCCTGCACCAAGTATATATAATATTATTATATATTTCCTAGTTTTCTGTTCTGGTTGCAGTTTAAAATTCCAAATTCAGGACTCTTTGTATGATATGTGGAGTGTTTTCTCTTTCTTGTATGATATGTGGAGTGTTTTCTCTCTGCTGTGCATGGCTGCCAACGTTTTTAAAGCGCCCCCCTCCTCCCACCTGTGGAAAGGAAGTTAGGGATGTGGCTGAAATTGGCCTGTTATTGTTGTTTGTTTGTTTGCTTGCTTCTAGCCTAGTGGTCCACCTTTGACCGCACCCCTCCACCCTTTTGTTTTGCTTGGCATTATTCTTACCTTTTATCACCACAACTGCTAGCCATGCAACCAAAGATCTCAGGAGAAAAAGAGGTGTGTGTTTTGTGGGTGGTAAAAGATTGAGATGAAATGAGAGAGAGAGGCCCCAGCCAGCCAAGCAATAGCTACATTCATTCAATTCAAATCTTTTGGGCATTCTTTACCACCTTTTTGCAACATCTGACCGGGCGCGTCCGTACCGTGGATCTGGGCCCGGGATTTAGCACGCCCATCGAAAGTGAGATGGTTGACGACGAGGGGAAGAATACTGAGCATCTGGATTGCCCTGAAATTTTGGGAGTGATGCGATCTTGGTGGTGGTGTATTTCCACGAGCCTTTCCTTTAGGTGGAGGCGGGTGAAAAAGTCTCTCGCCCAAAATTCAACAGGCTGGAAAGGCAACGAGTTCTCAGCCTTTCAAGAACTTGAGATGACAAGAGTATACGGAAGAGGAAGAATTTCCAGCTCCATGCTCGTTTACGTTTCGTTCGTTCTATCCATCAATCAATCAATCAAGCCATCCAAGGTAGAGATTTGGGCACAAATGTGGTAAGAAAAAGGTGGTGCGGCTGGCTTTTCATTGCATTCTAGGCAGCTACTAGCTGCTAGCCAGCTACAAGAATTCATGTAAAGCGCAAAAAAAAAAAAAACAAAAAAAAAAGAGAGAGTGGTCACTTCATTTGTTTTGTCCTTGCCTCTTTTTTCTTCGATTTCGTCCCCAACGGGCAGCGAAAATTCGTCCCCTAGCTAACCTAAAATCTACGCATCAGTCAAATCTAGAAGCCCTCTCGCACCAGGAATATCCCTCCACGTTTTGAAATTCAAAGGCTTTGGCGCGCGCGCGAAGTGCGGAGATTGGACGATCGACCGAATCGAATTCTTCCCGGCGAGTGAGGCGAGTGGAGGAGAGGAGAGTGGAGTGGAGCGAGTGAAATCGACCCACACGACTTTGGAGTGGGCGCGGCAATGATTAATCATTGAATACAGGGAGATTTTCCCAGCCGGAGGTACAAGGCATGGCGGCCAGAAGTGCCCAGAAAGAGCAACAAGCAACGACGAACAAGGAACAAAGGAACGGAAAAAGCAACACGGCAGATAGCAGCACAGCTAGTGCTAGAAGAGCCAAAAAAGATAGAGAAAGCAAAAGCAAAACAAAACACCCCCTCAAGATCTGGACAGACAAAGCCTGCGCAGGGAGGAAAGCAAAGAAAAGGAGAAATTTCATCATCGCTCACTACGTCTCTCAGATCCCCTCCTTGTCTCTCGCGAGAAAAAGCTACTCCATGCGTGCTCAAAGGAGGGAGGAAAAGAATTTCAAAGGAAAAAGGAACAAAGAAGAAGAAAAGGAGAGACAAGAAAAAAAATCACCACCTTCGCTGCAATCTACAAACAATGTTAGCCGCTACTCTTCTCCGGAACCAATTCGCGCATCCATCGTCCAATCCTCTCTCGCCCAATTCCCAGCTCTCGATGGAGAAAATCTCCACGACCCAAGACCCAAAATCCTCCCAGGACCCAGGGCGCTCGCTCTCCTAGATGCTCGAATTGGACGTGCCCACCGCGGCGCCGCGCACCCACCGCCAAAAGTACTCCCCGCCGCGCAGCCCAATGACGCTGGGCGGGCGGTCGCTCCTCGCGCTCGCCATCACCGTACGGTAGACGTACAGCATATCCACCGTATATTCGTCCTCCGTGCTCTCCTTGACGAGCTCCACGTTGAGCCATGGCAGCTTCTTGGACAGCTCGTCGCAGCCGGCGATGCTCACCCGGCAGCCCGAGAGCCAGAGGAAGCGCATCGTCTCGTAGCGCTCCAGCCCCGCCAGGAGCGCGCGATCGCCAAACGGGCAGTCGCGGATCTCCAGCTTGCGGATCTTGGTGCATCCCCGGAACACCGCCTCCAGTCCCACATCGCTGTCCGCCGCGAACGCCACCGAGAGCGTCTCCACGTTCTTGCCGAATTCGCCGATGTACTGGAAGGCGCGATCGGTGAGCAGGCCCGAGACCGCGAGGCGCTTGAGCTCCTTGCAGTTCTTGACGATGGCGCCGAATCCCTCGTCCAGCGGCTCGCCTGTGACGTGATCCGGCTGCCGGGTGGTGATGATGCACAGGCGGAAGCGGCGCATCTTGGAGCAGGCGCGCGACATGGCAGTGATGGCCGAGTTCGTCATCCGGCGGCAGAAGTAGAGGATCGAGGAGAGGTTGGCGCAGCCCTCGGAGATGGCGAGCAGGCCTTGCTCGGTCACCACGCCAACGCCCTCGTGATCCGCCGGGAACACCCGCAGCTCGCGAAGATCCTTGCAGGTGTTGGCCACGATGCGCAGCCCCGCGTCCTCGACATTGTCCTGGAGCTGCGACCAGGGGAGAAAAGCAAAAGTGAGATGGATGGATCACGGATCGATCGATCGAGAGAATGCATGGGCTTTTTGACTAGATCGATCGAGAGCGAGCGAGAGGCTGCTTGCCTCCATTCATGAGCGAATGAATCGCAAGCAATCATGATGCAAGAGAAGGGATGCCAATGGCCACACCAGCAAAAACCGAAAAAGCAAAAAGGAGCAAAAGTCAGAGAGGCTCGCATGTTCATTGTTCAGAATCAAACCATCACGCAGAAGGGGAAAAAAAAAAAAAAAAACGAGAAAAGAAAAGAGAGAACACCAGAGAAGGGGACAGCCACAAATCGACCTGGAGACGACCCAAGAGGCAAAACTCAGCGCAACCCAGCTCGTGATTCCCGCGGCCGGGTATAACCCATCAAGGAAATCGCGAATGCACGCCCGTAACAAGGAGCCCACGATTGAGATCACACCCAACCAAAAAGAAACGCAAAAAAAAAAACAAACAAAAACACCGCACAAAAGCAGGGGATCACATACCATCAATGCACGCACACGAACACTACTACTACTACTAAAAGCTCGCCTCGATCGATCAATCACCATGGAGCAACAAGACGCCATAGAACCATGAGAAATCCAAGAGCGAGAGCGAGAGCGAGAGAGACTTACCCACAACCTCTGGAGCTTGTGGCAGTGGCTGAGCAGCTGGAGGAGATCCGCGTTGCGGAGGTTGGCGTAGCTGAGGTTGAGCGAGAGGAGGTTGAGGCAAACCGGGTAGAGCGCGATGAGACACGGCGGCTCCGCCTCCCAGATCCCGGACAAGCTCTGCAGCTTGGTGCAACTCGAGAGGCACGCACCCAGGTCCTGAATCCGCTCCCACTGAATCATCTCCTGCTGCTCCGGAGCCGGCTGCGGCGGCTGCACCTGCACCTGCACCTGCATCTGCGCCTGAAGCTGCTGCGGAAGCGGAAGCGGAAGCCCGCCTACGCCAACTGCTCCGCCGCCGTTAAGGTTCCCGATGCCGCTCATCGAGCCCGTGCCCAGATCCGTGAGCTGCGGCCCGCAGCGGTGGAGCAGCTTCTGCAATTGCCACAGCGCCACCTTTTTGTTGAGGCCCAGGCTCCGGAGCTGCGGGTTGCGGGCGACCAGCGCGTCCAGGGCGTCGAAGTCCACCGCCGCGTCCAGGCAGGAGAAGTGGAGCGCGAGGAGCGAGGTTGTGCTGTCCGGGAAGGCGCTGATCCAGTCCACGCTGCTGTGATCCTCCACCAGGCTCTCCTGGAGGTTGAGCTCCTGCAAGTTCCTGGAGAGATCATCACGGCGATGGCGATGAGCATTCAATCAATCCGTCCAGAGGAGAGGAGATGCTTACCGGCAGTTCCTGGCGATGGAGGCGAGGCCCTTGGTGCTGAAGCCGTCGCAATTGTTGAGCACGATGACGCGGAAGCCTGGGAAGGAGGTGGCGAGGAGATCGAGCGCCTCGTCGCTCACGCACATCCGCTTGAGGCGGAGCTCCTCAAGCGGGAGTGACGCGTGCGCGAAGGTGACGATCCATGGCAGGAGGTAGGCTCCCCAATGCGGGGGCAAGAGATTGAAATCCGCGAAGCGCGGCTTGCCCTTGAGCGTGAGGGAGCGCACCTTGGGGAAGCGTCGCGCGACGAGCTCCGGCGAGACCGAGTAGCAGTTGCCGATGAAGAGGTTGGCGCGGCTGGCGGCCTCGGCCTTGTACCACGACTTGCAGACGAGCGACACCGAGTTGCGATCGCGGTGGGAGGAGAGGAAGACGAGGACGTGCTCGAGGATGTCGTCCGGGAACTCGTACACCATGTCTCGGGCGAAGCCTCTCATCAAAGCCCGGCGATTGGAAGCGATCTAGCTTGAAGAGTGGGGGTGGAGAAACAGGGGAGCGGTGGATCAATCGGCGGGATTTGGCGCGTGGGTTCGCGAGTGGAGGGCTGCTCCTGGCGATTGGGAGGATTCTAGAGCGACCCAAGTCCCTATCTCCAGCTGTTCTTGTCTCCTGGCAGGACCCATCAAGACCAAATCCCTCTCGCTCTCTCGCTCTTCCAAGTTGCGTTTGAATCCACCAGCATCTGTGTCTCTCCCCGGCCGCGATCTAGCTAAGCACAGCTATGGCCGCGTGGGATCCCTTGGAACCCCCGACCACCAGCACAAGCCACAGCGCGCTTGTTCTTTTGCTTGTTCTTCCGTCTCTCCTTTATCCCCTCCCCCCCCTGTTCTTGCGCTCGCTCGTCGGTGCCACCCACTGTATCAGACACCTATTCGCTGCTGGTGGTCCGTCCTCCTCATCCATTCTCGCCATTCCCGCCGGGTCAAAGCGCCCAGATCGCCGAATCCATCTCCTCCATCGCCGCAAGAACGACCACCCGATCAAAATCAATCAATCAACCTATCACCGCTTTCCTTGTCTTCCCTCTCCAGGATCGAGAAGAGGAACTCTCTAGCTAGCACCAATTTCTTGGCTCTCGCTCGCATCGCTCGCTCTCTCGCGACTCGCGAGCGACAAAAAAAAAAAACATAAGAAAAAAACACACACACTCACACCCTTGATTTCGAGCACACTAAACTGGATTTGCGTCAAATCTTGGGGTACGCTTGGCTGTCGGATTTGAGAGCGCGACTGACGTCCGCCGGCCACCCGCCTCGTATAAAGCGGGAAAACGGACCGTATCTCGCATTAACCACGCCGTAGCGTACTGCTCTACATACAGCCCTAAGCACCCGGCGAATATTCGGGCTTGCGCTGGTCAAGCCTTTGACCGCATATTCCGCCAAAGATGCGCCCCTCTAAATGGCCCATCATAAATTTTTGTGCCACGTTGGTACTTGGAAAAGTAGCCGTAGCATTGTGCATGATCATCATCAGCCAACGTACTTACTATCATTCGGGCGAGAAAATAAAAGGAAAATTCTCCAAGGTGTTTTGCCTGCTATGGTTAAGATTTGGTAGAGATTTTTTATTTTTTTTAGAAGTTTGCTTCGCGGATCCCCCATTCAGGCTCGATCAGGCATGTCGGCGTCTCATTTAAATCGCTGTTCTAGCCTGCTTTTGTTCGTGTCTCGAGTTTTATGATCCGATCGGTGTAAGTAGCTGCTAACTTTGAGATGAAATGTCCACTCTCGGCTCAACTCAACTCGATGCGATGCGAAGACAATGCTGCGCTAAACTCGCTGGTTCGTCCTAGTAATCCAAAATGGGTACTTTTACCTCGTAAGTTTTTCCGTGTAGCGAAGCTCGCGCTCGCAGTCCTTTCAATCGATTTAACAATCGATCCTGTTGCAGAGGCAGCAGCGGCGGAGATATCTGCATGAGAGCCAAGCAAAAAACTCGTGAATGCAGTGAGACTCGACGAAATCATGCTTACCAGTGCCACAACTCCATAGTTTAGCTTTAAAAAACCTACCTCGATCGATGGCTGATAGATGGGCAGAACGTTTTTCTCGCCCAGCCATGGCGGACCAGAAGCTAGCCCCTCTCCTTTGCCTCTCTGCCAAAGCCGTGCCTTGTGTGAGTGAGACGAAGAACGAAGAAGATGGAAGCAAAAGGAGTGATAGCTTACTTATTTACTCGCTCCTCCTTTCAAGGCACGATGAAAAATGATATCTTATGATCGCTGCTGCTACCTCTGATTCCTGGAGTCTCTGCTCGCTCGCTGCTCGCATTTCTGTGCATGGCGATCAATGCAATGCCTCTTTCCAGTCTGGACTGATCCAACTCCGATCTGATTGATCGTTTGATTCTTCCGAAATCCCTCCAGGAAATAAAAACTCTCCCCTCGCCATAGGTGGTGGGGAGGAGCTTGTGTATTCCTTCACTTTCTCCAGTTGCTATATATACATACCTCTTCCTTTTGCGCTGGTCAGTGGTGGTGGATGATTGATATAAAAACCTTGCATGGTTTTTCTTTGCGCTCGCCTCGTTTTCTGAGACAAAATCGACAAAAGTAAGTGAGGAATCCAACAGCAGCAGCGACTCTAAACGCAAATCCCTCTAGCTAAGCTAAAGAATGCTTGTTTATTTTTGTGATCTTCTCGGAGCACGAGGATCATGACGAGTAACTCTCATGATCTCCTCTCGCTGGTTTGATCCCAAGCACTAGATGGGTCGTGAGAGAATCGAGCAGTGACGCTACATACCTTGGATCCGAGGACGAGCGTCATGACCCAGCAGCGTCGTCATCGCGAGGGACCAGCGATTATAGCCGAAAACCCTGCCAACATTTTAACACGCTCTCAAGTTTTTGCATAAACAAAACCTCTTACGGAAAAGCGCGAGCAAACAAGAAGAAGAAGCGTCGATTACTTTATTCCCTGCGGCTTTTGCTTCTCAGGAATGATTGAAGCGAAGCTTCTTTCCTTCGCAGAGAGAAAAAGATATAAAAAAACGAAAGGAAAAACAAATTTTTAGACGAAGATGAGGAAGAAAGAAGAAGAACCTCGCATTGAAACAATGATTGTGTTCGTAGGAGAACTTGCATCGTCTCGTCGCCAAGGAGAAATAATTTAATCTTCTTTCTCCCAGCGAATAAACTCCGCTTTTCTCTTTCGTTTAGCGGCTGTTCATGATGGTCCAGATTTAATTCCGGTGCTCCATTTGTGGTAGCTGCTTTTTTGACTTGGATAAACAAATACTTCCACCCCAAAGTTGCTGCGTTCATCTGGGAGATTTTCGTGCAAGACCAATGGGAGGAAAAAGCGAAAGCTCTCTGTGAAATGCAGCAGCAAAAATATACGAATCAATCAAGCAATCAATGCCGAATTGAAAAAGTCGCTCGCGTACCTCTGAGAAGTTTGTTTCTTTTTTCTTTCTATTGCCTGTTCCTTTTTCTCCATTGGCAACTAACCGGCCAGAGCGACGAGGCTTTGCTGGACAACGGGAACTGCGGCCACCACCGACGAGATTATTCCCGTGAGAGCATAAGCTATCGCACAAAACGGTAGTGCCTCGGGTTCTTTTGCGGATAGCGCTGCAGTGCCTAATCCATGAGCACTGGCAAGAAGAAAAAGAAGAAGAAGGATCAGGACGATGATGAGACATTAAAGTTCACGCATTTTAAAATGCAAACCTGGAAGCTGTAGCCATCCCTCTAGCAATCGGGTCGTCCAGTTCGAGCTTATCCATTAATGTCTGCGCGAAGTTTGCTCCGACAAGACCGGTCAACACCACAACTGCTGCTGTCAACGATTGATTTTGAGCTGTAGAAAATACCTGGGAGCTTACAAAACGATTCAATAGCAGGATAAAGTGAAAAGCAAACCTTCGAGTAGAGACGAGATTGGCAGCGCTAAAGCAACAGTAACACATCTCGGTACTATAGCTCGAGTGAATTGTCCGTCCAGGCCGAGGACTCGTCCAGCTGCTGCGGTGGAATACAGAGAAAAAAGCGACGATGCAATAACTGCTGAAAAAATCTCCGCGGCGTGCCTCTTGACAAGCTGAGTTTGGAAGAAACAAATTACTCTAAGTGAATGAACGAACGAGTCATATAAGATCTTACAGAAACGTCACCTTTCTTTGACGAAACATCGAGAACGAGAAAGAGAGAATCACCGAACCAAGAAATCCCATGAGCAAGTCACCGGCACCAGGATCCCTAGGATTCTTTGTCAAATAAGCTCCTGACAAAGAGGAATTTGACAAAACACGAATAAGTTGCAAAACAGGTTGCACAGGAAGTGTACCTAGTATTGATTCGAATCCTCTTTGCGTGAAAAGGCCGAGCAAGAACGCGGCCAGGTCTGCAGCTATAGCACAGCACACAATCGGATGGAGCACCTTCTTAAGATCCGCTGGGAAGCTACAGCAGACAATGAAACAAAAAGTCGGTTAGAACTAAAGTTGGACGAGCAAACCTTGAGCCCAGCATATATCCGAGAACAGTTGCTGCAAGTAGAAAAGGCAGCGCTGTTGCTGGAAATGATCCAAGAGCCCCGGGAGACAAAACCGCTAGACCAAACGACAATACAAACACGATGGACCAGGCTGTTATCTCTTTCGTTGTGAATGGAGCAGGCTTTGGAGTCGGCTCCGTGGGCTCTAGCTTGGTTCGAACGATTCCCCTGACAGCCACCGCAGTGTATCCCGCCACAGCCAAAGTTGCAGCCCATCCAAAAACTGCCAAGGAACAAACTATATCAGTAATGCCAAAACTTGAAACAGTTCTTTTATCTTACCGAGAATGGCACCAATCTTTGCACCAGCGGACGCAGGAATACCTTTGGTTGCAAGTGGAATGACGACCAAGGAAGGCACATAAAAAAGTGGCAGCCATCTTTGTATGAACGTGATCGCTGGAGAAAAAAAGGAGACCACCGACGCAGCCGAGTCGGGTGATGCCGCGTCCAAAACGTTGAGGATGACGAAGATGCAAAACATCCCAAACAACGCACTTGGAAACTTTATCGACGCTGAAACGAAGAGTTTCTTGAGTAGCTTATCCAGTCCCAGGAAAATTCCCAGTGACACTCCCAGATGAGCCACCTACATTTGCAAGAAAACTTCAGTACTTCGAGAACTTGGCCGATAGAAAAAAAGAAAACGAAAACGAAAACCTGGATCTACCTAGGACAAAAACTCAAAAGAACTTACTCAGATCTCTCAACATAGAAGAAACATTACCTGCGTGAGTGCCAGAGAAGAAGCTCTCCCTTCTCCACTGTTGTGTCCTTCGGTGCTCGAGGATCTTCGCACGAGAACGAGACGACGATTTCTTCCCGAGAGCGCAAGTAAGTTACTCTGGATGTCCAGTCCTCCACCACCACCAAGTCTCGAGAGAAGAACACGACCAGTTCCACTTCGATTTCCAGGCTCGCAGGTATTTCTCTTCCATTTCTCTGGAGGATGGCAGCTCGGGCGAGGAGATCTGAGACTTAAACTCAGCAATGCCATCGAATCTACGTACCAATCGGCTACCAGGGATCCACTGTTCTTCCCGTCTCTTATCTCGTGAAGCCCAGACCTGTGGAAGAAAAAAATTCTTCTATCTTAAAAAACCACCCAATAAAACCATGCCACTTCTTTTGTCGGGACCACGACACATACCTTTAAGTGTAACCGAAGGAAAAAAAGAGAAACCCTTGCTCCTCCTCTCCGTCGATTGATCGCTCCAGCTCCATCGATTGATGCGAATGGCGCTGGCGGGGATCGCCGCGGCGGGAGCTATGGCAGCCGGGGGAGTGGCGCTGTGGAAATTCCGGCCCAAGGATCCCATCTTCGAGGTAACCTCGATCGAATTCAAGGGATTCCAGATGCGCTTCTGCACGGATTCGCCGATGCTCATGGCGGTGATCGATGTGGAGCTGGTGCTGAGCATCAGCGTCACCAATCCCAACGTCGCGCCGATCGCGTACACGAGCACTACCATGGACATCTTCTACCATGACACACTTCTAGGGCAAGCCAAGGTGAGTTCTACTATACTTTCTATAGTTTTCTTCGTTCTTCCAAGAGAATGTCAAGGCGTGCTAGATCTTTTTTTTTTTCTCTTTGTCTTGATCAAATCAATGCTTTGAGATGGCAGCCAGCATTTTTTCGTTAGATCATCCATCACTCCTGTCAAGAATTGTTCTAGATTGGGAACACGTAGAAACAAGTTATTCACAAGGAAAACTATGAAAAACAATTGTGACCAATCAAGATCTCGATTGTTCACGATTGCTCATAGTTTATCCTCGTGAATATCTTGTTTCTTCGATTAAGGAATTGCTACATTGTTTTCCTCGTGAATTGCCTGTTTCTTTGATCAAGGAATTGCTACATTGTCTTGGTTCGCATGAATAGCACTCCAATCTCTTCTTCTTCAAATTTGAGCTAGAAATCTAAACTTCCGTAGAAATCGAGAGCTTGGAAGTTCTTCCAGAGCTCGAGAGCGTGCATTCACGTCTAAACAACAACAACAAAAAAATTTCCTTTTTTTTTTTCTTCCAGGTTGACGAAGGCACCCAGGAGGCCGATTCCACCAAAATCCTGCGCGTCCCCGCCAAGCTCGATGGCCTCCAAGTCACGAACCACGTCAAGGATCTCATCAAAGACGTGTATAAGCGCGAGATGCTGCTCCACTCCACCGTCACGATCTGCGGCGCCGCCAGAGTCTGGAAATGGCGCCACAAATTCGAGGTTTGTCGTCTCAATTCATCGCGCTCAAATCTCTCAATCGCGCTGGTCTTCCAGGTTCACGTCGACAGCGACATCAAGGTCGATCCAATCTACCTCGACGTGATCGAGCAGGAGAATCGCGTCCATATGGAAATGCCGCTGGTGGCGGGATGAGAAGCTCTGTTTTTAGGGTTCTTGAATAAATGTCACTCTGTTTTTAGGGAATTTTGTCCCCTGTTTCTAGGGCTATTGCGAGTTTCGCCGATCCAAGCGTGATTTCCACGAATTATTTTAGTGGGCTCGCAGCTGCCGGACAGCTGCGCGGACCCAATTGCCTGATTCCGCGCGCAACAGAGCAAAACAGGGCGGAATCTCGCAAGCCCAGGTGAGTGCAACGAAATGATTCATGGACGAACAACAACAGCAACCATAAGAACAAGGAAAAAGATGATGGAATTGTCGACGATCCATTCCATCGATGAGAGGATCGAGGCATTAAAAAAGCCTCTGGGGAATTTCGAGAGGCTGGTTTCTCGTTCGCGCTCTTGCCTGCCTCATATCTCATCTCGTTTGATCTGTCTTGCGTGTACTTTGGCCAAAGAACATGTCCAAAAGAAACAAAGGTATTTATATATATTGTGTTGGTTGACCACTCTCCCCCTGTGTAGTCATGGTCCATGTCTCTCACTCAACACACTCAAAGAATATCTCTCTATCTCACATATCACACACACAACACTCAAATCCTCACTCTGGGATTCAAATCTCGGCTTTTCAATCGCTTGGGCAGCCGCAGCGCGCGATTTCCTTGGATGGGCAGCCGCGAATCGGGAGAATTCATCCCGAATTGCAGTAGAATCGCAGCATCGGACCAGCGATGAACCAGAGCACTGGGGATTGTGCTTGATTCGTCCATCCATTCCCGTCGATCGATCGATTGGAGCTGGCGAGAGGTCTCACATCACAGCGACGGTGCGATCTGGCTTGCCCGGCCCGTGCGAATGCGAGGGAGGCGGATTGGAAGAGGACGAGGACGAGAAGAGCTTCCGCAAGCCATGAACCCTAACGCTCCGGAGCGACGGCCCAATGCACGCCGGGACGTGAAGAACGGGCGTCACTCGCACGCTCGAGGAGGAAGGCTTGTGATCCGATGGCCGCCTCCAGTTGCTCTCGCTGTGCGGGCGCGAATTCCCGATCAGGACGTGGTCCTGGAGCTGCATCTTGGCCGATAGCGTGGAAGAATTCGCCTTGCGATTGCTCCCACTTCTCTGGAGATTGCTGCCACTGTTCTTCCCTGCCGACGAGTTCTGGAGCTGCCCATGGAGCCTGGCGTTAGAGATTCCAGCCGATGATCGCCGCCCCCTGCTGCTAGCCCGGCCTCTGTTCGAATCGGGCTTGCTCCTGCTCGAATTTCTGCCCGGGGCGATGGCGATCTCGTCTGGGAAATCCGCGGAGGAGGAGGAAGAGGAATTAGCCGACGACGCTGTCCAATTTGAGGAGGAATTGGAGGAAGTAGACGAGACCGACGAGGAGTGGAGCGCCAGGATCTCGGGATCGCAGGAATTAGAGGAGGAATCCTTGAGCAGCGGCACCAGAGAGCTGTCATGGACAATCTCCGCCGGATCATCCGGAGGAGAGATCTCTGGCGCATTGGAGCTGCTGGAATTGGAGCTGCTACTCCGGTTAAAGATCATCTTGAGAAGCTTGGCTGGAACACCTTGCTTGGAAGAACTCGATGCTTTTGGGGAAGAAATGGATTTTCTTTGAAACCCGAAGAGATCTCTCCAGCGGCTGGAAGAAGAACATTTGCCAGATTTTGGGGGCGAGGAGGGGCGCGAGGTGTAGCCCGGCGGGGGATAGGAAGAGGATTTGAGCGTGGACGCCACCACCAATGGGCGAGCGGGAGATCTCAGCGAGCGCTCGCGGCGCATTAGGGCAACCGGTGGCGATCTTGCCACGATCGATCCTTGCTGCTGCTTCATCTGGGCGGTGGGCTGGTTCTTCCCAGGCGGCGCTGGATCCATCCGGAGCTCGGACAAGTCCTGGACCATTTGGATTCGCGGAGGGAGATGGAGTGGCAGGAGCTTGCCCTTGTAGAAGAGCTCGTCGGCGGAGAGCATTGGGGGGTTCTTGGGCGGCGCCGCGCGATCGCTAGCGGCGGTGGCGCTGGCCGTGAATTCAAACTCGCCAGACGAGGAGGAGGGGCGGTGGCGCGGCGATAGCGAAGCGCCCACATTGCTGCCGGGATGATCTAGATCGCCCAGTTGGGCGAAATCGTTGGAGAACGAGATCCGTGGGCTGTGCCAAGATCTACCGCTGCTGCTCCTGCTGCTACTGCCGCCGCCGCCGCTGCCCAGATCATCCGAGAGCTCCACCGATTCCAAGAAGCTCTTGCCCGCCATAGCTATGGCCTTCCTCTTCCCGGCCTGTGATCGAGGCAGCGCGGCCTCTGGAAACCATGAGTCGTCCGCGGCGATTCCACTCCACTTCCTCTCGCCACTAGCATTTCTCGCGATCAGCGATGGATCGATCGATCCAGGAGGGGGAGAGCTACGAAAGATCCAATTGCTGGCCGGAAAGGAATCGCCAGGCGATGCCCTGTACTTTCTGGGCTAAATAGCAAGGAAAAGAGGATGGGTCATGGCTTTGCTTGTAGCAAGCACAACAGTGCAGCCATAGACAGGCGGGCAAAACTCCCCCACACGTGCCACGTGGACACGTCGTGCGAATCGGACGGACGCGATCGTCCTATACACCGAGACCGGATTAGTTATGATACGACGGCATAAACCCCCGTGGTTTAGACCATGATTAGTACGGACATACTGCCAGGGTGGGCCACATGGGGTTTAAATCCAGTACGGCCCACGTGGCCAGAACAATATTTGTCTTTCCCGGTTATGTTAATCGTAGCCCCTAAAGTAGAAGCGTATGGAATCTCGCAGGAATCTTCCGTTCCATGGTAGCTGGATAGAGAGGAATTTTTACCTAAGTGACAAGCGCTTGTACTTTACCTTGCAGCGGAATAAAGCTGCGCAGCAAAAAGAAGATCTCTACCAAATACGAGCCGTCCATTCCAGGATCTATCCAACGGCTGCAATTTAACATTTTAAAATCTGGCGCGGGCAAGAAAAGAATATCCCCATAAAAGCGAAGGAATAAAAAAATTCACGAACTAGCTAGAGCTGGCCGCTAGACGAAGAATTGCTCGAGCTTCTCAGCTCCTGCTTCTTCTTCCTCCTCCTCTCGCTGCGATTCAACACCGCGACAGCGCTCTCCAATCGGCTCACAATCTCGCCCATGCTCGGCCGCTCCTTCCCCTCGAGCCGGACGCACTCCTCCGCGAGCTCCGCCACGATCAACACCGCCTCCATCTCGTCCGCCTCCTCAGGAAGTCCAATCCTCGGATCCAGGATCGAGATCACTTGCCCCGCCAGGATGAATGGCACCGCGAAATCCACCACATTGACAGGCAGCTGTGGATTCTGGCGGAGCTTGAGCCGGTTCTCCACGATGATCGCGCGCTTGCCGGTGAGGATCTCGAGCAGCACCACGCCGAAGCTGTAGACGTCGCTCTTGGTGGTGAGCTGCTGGAGCCTGTAGTACTCGGGATCCATGTAGCCCACGGTGCCGGCGGCGGTGAGCGAGAGATGGGACTCGCCATCGCTCGGACCCATGAGCGAGAGACCAAAGTCCGAGACCCTGGCCGAGCACTCGGCGTCGATGAGGATGTTGCTCGACTTGATGTCCCTGTGGATGATCGGAGGAACCGCGTACGTGTGGAGGTACTCGATCCCCCTGGCGGCCTGGAGGGCGATCCCGATTCGCATTTGCCACGAGTTTAGATTGATCGCGAAGATCCTCTCTTGCTGCTGTGGGACGATCTCTCCACCCTCTTGCCGTTCCTGGTGTTCTTCCTCCTTTCGCCCGTGGAGGTGATCGTGGACGGTTCCATTCGGCATGAAATCGTAGACGAGCAATCGCTCGTCGTCCTCGGCACAGAATCCCACCAGCGTCACCAGGTGCCGGTGGTGGAGCCTGGTGAGGAACTCGAGCTCGCTCTGGAAAGCCGATTCCTTGTCCTGGAACTTCTTCTTGGCGATGGCGTCCATGCCCGACGATCCAACCCCGCCGCGCTTGATCGCCACCTCGCGCCCGTCCGGAAGAACACCCCGGTAGACGGTGCCAAAGCTGCCAGTGCCGATGCGATTGTCATCGCTGAAGTTGTCGGTGGCGGCCGCGAGCTCTTCCAGCGTGAATGTTTCGGCTCGGCCCAGGCTCCTCCGGCTCCCGGTCACGTACGATGCTCCACTGCGCTGCCGTCGCAATTGCTGCTGCTGGGAGATCGTCACCGATCCATTGTTGGCATTCACGGAGTGATGGATCCTTCCGGACTCTGAGCGCTTGCGGAGCCTCGACCAAGAACAGAACGCGATCGCGACGAGGCCGAGTAGCATCCCTGTCGATCCCAGCACCACGCTCACGATCTCCACGTTCGATAGCCGCCGCCGCCGAGATCTTCCAGGAGGAGGAGGTGGAGGAGCTAGCGCTGGAGGTGGCGGTGATGAGCTGCATTGCCTGTCCCCGCCAGTGATCCCGCAAGGGACCTCCTCGATTGCCCCTTCCGGGCATCTGGTGCACGACACGCAGACGTGATTGAATCCACCGCAGACGCTGGAATTCCCTGTGGCATTCACCAGCGCGTACGATTCCGCCGCGCATTGCCCACTGCTACACGATCCTGGCAGCGATTGGCTCAACCCGATCGAGACGCTGCCCCAGCAAGTTACCCCAAGATCGCCGCTCCTCACGCCGCAAGTGTAGAAATCCCCCGCGGCGATGGAATCAAACCTCACTCCTGCTGGCGCCGCGAGCTGCGAGGTGGAATTGTCGCCCCAGCAGAGCGCCTGGCGCGTCGATCGATCCAACCCGCAAGAATGCCTCTGCCCTAACGCAAACGCGAAGAACTCCACGCTGGGAGGGAAATCCAGCTGCCCGTACGTGTTATCGCCCCAGCAGTACGACACGGTCCCAAAGGACGAGTAAAGACCACAGACGTGTTGGCCGCCCGCCTGTACGGACGAGAATGAGCCCTGCGATGGCTGGAAGCGCCGTTGGATCGATTCGTCGCCCCAACACACGACGCTCCCGTTTGACGCGACGATGCCACAGCTGAAATTCGAGCCGCTGGTGATGCTGGTGAGATTTGCTAGATTAGTCGGTGCCGCGATGCCGATCCCTCGCCAGCAATCCACGCCGCCATCGATCGATCGAATGCCGCAGACGTGGGAATCGCCCACCGCGATCTGGGAGTAGCTCGCGCTCGAGAGGCGGCTGCGCGAGCTGAAATTCATGGCATCCCAGCAAAAGGGCTGGCGCGTCCACTCCCTGAGCGCGCAGAAGAATCCATTCCCGCCCGAGATGCCAACGAAGGAAGCGTCGCCATAGCTGAGTGGGGGGCTGGCGCTGTTATTGCTGCCCGCGCAGCTGATGATCGATCCAGCCAATCCGGGGACAATCCCGCAAATCCGAGCTTCTGGGTACGTGGGAGCGATCCCCGACATTGAACCCAATGAGCGCGCGGCAGGGATTAGCAGCGAGACGACGAGAAATCGACATACCAGACCCCATTTCTTCGCTAAAGCTCTGTTCTTGCGACCCGAATTCCTACCCAAGGAGATCGAATTCTCAAGAATTGCCTGAAACCCACTACACCTGTCCATGAAGCAAGCTGATCAAGCTTGGATCGTCCCCAATTGCAGCACATTTTTCGTTCCCGGGTCGTGCAATTCCGGCCGGTCTCGGGTTTCGATCGGTAAGGAGGAAGCGAACGCCTATTGATGAACGACCGCGATTTTCTGCCGCGCTGCTGGTACCTAGAGTCGTCGTCCAAAGTCCTCCACGGAGCGCGAGCTATAAATCCCAAAGCGGGCTTTTCTCGCAGCTCTCGATCGTTTCAAACCGGCGGCTCATTGACCATTCCAGCACAGTGGAAATTAGCACCAAATTTTTGTGCGTGCGCGGTCTAGCAAATCTAATCGTTGTTTTCTTCTTCTACGTGGTCTTGAGGGAGCTTCCGCGTTTTGTCAATTCAGCGCGCAGCGTGTGAAAAGTGCCATGTCTGATTAACCAAGAGCCGTAGGATCCCGGTCAAGCCCAGCTCTGACGTTGATTTGACAAGAATATTCCACCGATTTGAATTTAAAACCTTTGCCGCGTGGCACCGCCCACCCAGCTAACCTGTGGACGAAGTGTCGAACTCCGTTGAAAACTTGCGCTGGGGCGGAGGGGGGGTTCGTTCTCGACATTTTCTGCATCTGGGCGAGTTATTTCTCGTCAATCAGGAGCTCTGGAATGCTACAAGGACGCACAGAAAGCAAACGAAAAGAAAAAAAAAAGATGGAGGTGATCCGTGGACGTCCTTGTCGGATCCACAAACACCCAAAAACCTTTGCTCTAATCTTTTCAATAAATTCGCGAACCTTGACGCTGCTGACATTTGGCTGGTTTCTAGAATCATTTAAGCTGTCCTGGCCTTAAACCTGCGAAAAATAATCACAGTAAGTTCACGACGAGAAAGTTGCAGAGTGTTTCTTCTACCTGTACTTCGGTTTGACGTTTACCAGGAAAGCAGCGCCAAGAAAACAAAGGTTTTGAGGCATTCAAAGCAATTTTTACAGAGATTGGTACCTCTGAATTGAGTCCATGGTTTGTGTACAAGACCCTGGCCAAGTCCAGCCATGGAGATCCCTCTCAAAATACAGCGATGACTCCGCTGCTCTGAGAAGTCTTGACGGAATCTCGCGCCCTGAGACAAAAAAGAGAATAAAAAGTATGTAATAAGAGAAACTGAAGTTAACAACTTACCTCTCCAAACCTTTGATGCGATGCCGACTCGGTCAGCAAAAGCCCCAGTTGCCACCTCAAAAGATCGCTCGCTGTCGATGACTCTTGACTCTCCTCGGTCTCCTCCTTTAATTTGATTTTCGTTTGCTTCACACCTTAATCGTGGAAAGCGCGTTTCCCCATCGAAAGCCCCATTTCGCACGACTAAAGTGTTGTGTAAGACGAGGAAGAAGCACGGGGAGCGATGAATGCGAGCACCGGAGCTGGCCATCTCTGTCTTCTCTGCCTGTAAAAACTATGAGAAACTCCAAAGCATTGTTTCTAGTGCTGCCAGTAAGTAATCCCACTGTGACTTAAAAAATCTCGTAGCTTACTTGGTTCGAGGAGGAAGGGGAACCGACGAAGTTTTCTAGTGCTTTCAACACCTCCAAAACTTGTGAGGGACAGGTAGATCGATCAGTGTATGCGCTGCATGATCCACACTCGTTTTGCTTTGCTGTCTAGATCAAATTCAATCACCAAGTACTTAGACAACGAAGTAGGAAGAAAAAAAAATTCGTTTCCTTTAAAGCATTGAAAAGGTTATACCAAAGTTTCCGGACTGTTAGAACACATGTCGCTCCACTACTAAAAAACGATCCCCTTCTTCTCAAGAAAATCTTTTGCCTCGATGATATCCTGACAGACAATGAAGCGAAAAAGATCAATCTCTTTTTTCCCGAGAGAATTTGGTCGAGAAAAGTAAACCTGTTGTAGTAGAATCGCCTCCTTGGGACACGATGGAAAAACCAGGAGTCCATAAGCAACCATTACGACGCCATAGCAACCCAAAGCAAAAATCGCGAGAATTGGAAGCTACAAAGTTAAATATTTAGCGAAGAAAAGATAGAACTGCAATACTCACGTAAGGAACGAATTTTGCTACGCGATCCGGTAGATCAGATCGAAGGAGTAGACTGAGCCACAGCGCGGTGACGAGAACAGCGATGGCGCCTAGCTTGATCACCTGCTTCATGGCGCTCGTCGCGCGAGCCCAAGAACCCTAGATCGAATTTTGGCGCTCACATTTTTAGGGCTCTTAGTGGGTTTGGGGTTTGCGAAATGGGGGGAGAAGACGAGTCGCTGCGCGCGGAGATCTCTCGTCTCCAGCAGCGCGTGGAGATGCTAGAGCAGAAGCTGGCTGATCGAGATCGCGTGCCTGTGAGGAGTGCGGCGGCGGAGGATTTGCGGTCGGCTTACACGACTCATGGATTGAATTCGTATCAGGTCTGTCGATATAGCAGGCAGCTCCTCGTTCCGGCCTTTGGCATCGCAGGTGTGTATTACGAATAGTTTCTCTTCTGGAACTTCCTTTTTCTTCTTCGAGGCTAACGAGCTAGTATCAGGCCAAGAGAAGTTGCTAAGTTCTTCCATTTTGGTTATTGGCTGTGGAGGGTTAGGCTCTTCTGCCGCATTATATCTTGCTGCCGCTGGTGTTGGTATACTTCCTCGAATTCTAGTTCGTGAGTAATTTTTTCTGTGGCAGGTGTTCTTGGGCTTGTGGACCGTGATACTGTGGAGCTAAACAATCTCCATCGCCAGGTACTTCGTTTCGTTCTTCGCACTTCAGACATTTTTTTTCTTCGTTCTTTTCAGATCATCCACTCCGAGGAAGCCATCGGTACGTCAAAAGTGAGGTCCGCTGCTACGTCTTGCAGGAGGTATGGTGTTTCTATGCGTCAGCAATGGTTTCTAGTTCTTTCTTCCTGTCGTTCCTCAGGATTAATAGCTCTCTATCCATTTTGGAGTTTCCAAATGGATTTTCCGCTGACAATGCATTGGAGATTGTGAGAAAGTATGCCATTCAATCGTCCTTTCGCCTGAATTCTGCGCATTCTTCAACAGGTTCGATGTGGTCGTCGATGCTACGGACAATCTCCCGAGTCGCTACCTCATTAGTGACGCCTGCGTTGTTGCAAGGAAGGTACATATCCATCAATTCGGACTTATAGAACGGATAAAAGAACACTCGTAATTCGCGTTTCCAGCCATTGGTATCCGGCGCAGCACTCGGTCTAGATGGCCAGGTAAGACTTTCATCAGCTTGATGTGATTTAATCCAACATTCTTTTATGCAGCTAACTGTTTACAATCACAAGAATGGACCATGCTATCGTTGCTTATTTCCTGTCCCACCTCCTCAAAGCGCTTGCCAAAGATGTTCTGATAGCGGAGTACTTGGTGTTGGTACGTGAAGCTTTACAGCCTCGAAGATCTGAATCCTTTATTCTTGTTCTTGCAGTGCCAGGAATAATTGGCTCCCTTGAAGCTCTAGAGGCAATCAAGCTTGCAAGTGGTACCGGGGAGCCACTTAGCAGCAGAATGCTAATCTTCGATGCGAGCTTGGGAAGGTTCCAAAATGTAAGGCACGCTGTTTCTTTTGAGCTGAGCAAGTCATCTAGACTTTTTTGTCTTTTATCAGATCAAACTGAGAGCAAAGAATCCAAGCTGTGTGGCGTGTGGAGACAATCCGGAAATCACTGAAGCGAATTTTCACAACATGAACTACGAGGCGTTTACCGGGGTTGCCATGACAGATGAGGTAAGTAGGACCAACACGCTTTCAAATCTTCGATAATCTTTCTCTATCATTTCGTAGGCTCCAGTTCGAAAGCAAGTGGTCTCTCTTTCCAATTCCCTGAGCTGCTTAGAGCTGAGAAAACGCATCGAAGAAAAAGTCCCTCACGTCCTGTTAGACGTCCGTGACGAGCACCAGTACGCCATCAGCGCGCTGCCACAGTCGACAAACATTCCTCTCTCGCAACTCCAGAAGAACAGCCAAGAGCTCCGCGATATCATACTCGACGACGAGAAGATGCCAGTCTTTGTCATCTGCCGGAGGGGGAATAGCTCTCAGGAAGCTGTGGAGCTGCTCAGAAACTCTGGAGTTAACGCCTTGGATGTCACGGGAGGACTTGAGGCGTGGTCCAGAGAGGTAGACTCCAAGTTTCCTTTGTACTAAATCGTTTTTTCTCTACAGGAAAGCTCAAAGGTCTTGGTTTTATTAGAAACAACTTTTTCTTTCGAGAATCATCAAAAGTTTCGCGGAATAATCTCGTTTCGAAGCAAAGGTAAAGAGTTTTGCTTGAGAAAGACTACAATGGAAGAAAAGTTCAAGCCAACCGAAGTTTTGGTTCTAGCCAATCAAAATATTGGAAGCTACAACCTTTCCCACAGAGTTTGATCTATCAAAAACACCATGGCAGGTTTGTATATAAATCTAGAACTTGGGAGCTACATCGTCGTCTTGGGCGCTAGAAGCAAGCGTCTAGCAAACAACAGCAACACAAGGCCGCCAAACTGGAAGAAAAAAAAAGGATCAAACAAAGAAAAAATGCAAAAAAAAAAAAGGGAAGAGCTTCGAGCGAAGCGAGGCTCCAGAAACTATAAATTTACCATCCCTCGATGAACGATGGGCCTTTGTTGTTTTGATGATACTGCTCCTGGTTATATCCCGGCTGTTGGACTGGATAGCCCGCTGGAGGATAGCCTTGCGGAGGATATCCCTGGGGAGGATAGCCTTGCGGAGGATAGCCCTGGGCGGGATACGCTTCATACCCTGCCAAAACACCCCAGATCTCTCAGATATCCAGGATTTCTCCGCGATCAGGGTAAAATCGTCGCAAAGATCTCGCGATTTCTCGCGGCGCTTACCTTGAGCATAGCCTTGCGGCGGCGGCGCTTGCACTGGCGGCTTCTGATCGTAGTAGCTCATCCTCTCCTCCGCCAAGAAATCGAATCGATCGAAAGCAAAACGAACGAGTAAGTGGTGCGTGTACCCGTTATAAAAGGGGCCAAAAACGCGGAATGGCTATTCCTAGGCTTGACGGACGGTCGAGATTCGCGGAGGCCACTAATCGACGGCTTCCCGGAAGCTGGCCTTAAGACTGGGGTTTATGGGGTTTAGGGCTGACGATGCCCCTGTTTTTTAGGGTTCTTGAGGATGAGGAAGCTCTGGCGATGGCGACGCGCCGGCTTGCGCCAGGTTCGTGCTCGATTTGTCGCGGATTTTGATTGATTCTCGTGGTTTCAGGGAGAATGCCGTGGCGCGGGTTGTTTGTTTCGAGCATATCGACGCAATGCGGGTCTTCCAGTGATTTGTTCGATGTCTCGGCATTGCTGCGGCTAGGAGGAGCAAAGGCGGCGCTGGATTATCTCGATTCCAGGCAAGGTCGAGATGGTTTCTTGGATTCTTCCACGCTCGCGAGGTTGCTGCTGGATTGTGGAAGATCCAGCGCTCTCGCGGAGGGCCGGCGCGTCCACGAGTACGTTGTGAGATCCAGGTTTGTCCGCGACGCGTTCCTTGGCAATCACCTCGTCCATATGTATCTCAAGTGCCAGAGCTTCGACGAGGCCGAGAGGGTTTTCCAGAGCGCTGCTTGTGAGAGCTTTGATGTTGCAACGTGGACAGCAGTGATCGTCGCTAGAGCGGGGCTCGGGAAATGGAAGTTGGTGTTTGGTCAGCTGGATGAGATGGATCGGAGAGGGATTCCACCGGACAGGGTCATGATCAAGACGTTGCTCACTGCTTGTACCAAGCTCGGTGCTCTGGAAGAAGGGAAACTTATCCAGGATCGTCTAGCAGGAACCCAGCTCGAGCTCGATATTGGTGTGCGCAACCTCACGATCAACATGTACGTGAAGTGTGGTTGCCTAGATGGAGCAGTGCAAACTTTCGCGAGGATGAAGCGACGGGATGTGGTCTCCTGGACTGTGATGATCGGAGCTTACTCACAGGATGGGAAGTTCAGCCTCTCGCTCCAGCTCTTCCGGGAAATGCTGCTCGAAGGGACTGCTCCAAACAGTGTCACCTTTGTCAGTATCTTGAGCGGCTGCGAAGCACCATCTTTACTCGAGCAAGGGAGGCAGATTCACGCTCTAGTGGTGGAGAGCAGTCTCGAGTCACACGTCGTTGTAGCGAATTCTCTGCTGGGGATGTATAGCAGATGCCGCAGCTGGGAGGATTCGAGAAGTTTGTTCGACAGAATGAGCGTCCGAGACTCGGTTTCATGGTCGACGATCATCATGGCCTACGAGGAGTTTACCGGAGTTACACGAACTACGGGAATATTCCGAGAATATTCCATGGCCTAGCTCTCCTGTTCGCTTCATCGGTGATGGCGGGTGAGTAAGATATTGATCTTCATGAGGAGTATGGTGTTAGTGATAATGGCCATGATGATGTGGAAGAGACTCTTAATGATGTCATTGTGTGTTAGATTTCTGAGGTTCAGAGCGACGTAACAAGTTCGTGATTACCATTGGTATGTCAAGTATGCCAAGGATTATAGTATCGTGGAATGGAAATCATCACCGGATGTTTGTAATAGTCAATAGGTTGATTCTTGGTTAGAATTGTGAGAAAGTTGTTAGTCTCACAATCCTTGTGAGGATAAGGTGAAGATAGATTTCTTTGTGATGAAGTTTACGGGCTATGCTTATTCGTGGTGAAAGAACTACATTAAAGTTAATTCGAAGCCGACTTCTTAGACTGATTTGACAAAGGTTTTCTACACTTCGTTTGTCAAAAAGTTTGAAGAAGTTAATCTCGTGAACTAGCTATTAAAAATTTAACAAAGGACTTTGTCTTTGAATGCATATGCCCGCAAGTTCTATGATCTTTGCCTTAATCTCATGGGCACCTATAATGAGCTGTTAAAAGTGCAATGTTTCATCAAAAAATTGAGCTTAGTGGATATGTAGCAAAAGGTCAAAAAGGATTTTCCTACAACATTGACTGATGCAATCACTAGGGCTCAGATCTTTTCACCCAAACTGTCAGTCAACTTAGTCAACTCTAGTCAACAGGATGGTCTATGGGGAGGTCAACGTGATAACCAAACCACCAATACTTCATCTTTAGAGAAGAAATTCCTATTATTCTATCATAGCTTGAAGAGTGGAGATGGTAATGAGGCCAAAAGACATTGTTTGGACTAATGAGAGAAGGATAAAGCAGAGGGCAATTATTTTCATTGCCATAGGGCTGAACATTAGAGCAAAAATTGTTCTGAAAGGGTCAATGAATGAATGAATGGCAACATTATCTATATGGATCAGACTTCCATGTGGATTTAGATCATCAATCTCTCTAATATTTCAGTCGACAAAAGGATCTTCGAGACCGCCTTGCTCATTGGCAAGAGTTCCTATAGGAAATGTTTGTTAAAATCCAGTACAAGTATAGAGGTGACAATAAGGTGGCTGATGTATTATCCAGGATGGTAAATTCTATCTTGTTCATAAAGTTATCCAGCGATCTCTTAGATGAGCTTAAGGAGTTTGCTGACTTCGACTCCTTTATCACTAATATTTGCGCGAAGGTTTTGTTGAGGGACGCCTCTACAAATTTGAAGGGTAACAAGTTTGCATCATTCGAAATACGAGATGGAATTCTAGTGAAGAAGGGACATGTAGTGGTTTCTCGTGTTAACAAACTCATCAAACAAATTTTGGTTGAGTGTTATGATGTGCCAAGTGTTGGGCATTCGGGGGTATTGAGAAAGTATATTTTGGTGAAGAGGCATTTCTTTTGGCCTGGGAAAGTCAGATGTTGAGAAATACATACATGGTTGTTTGACTTGCCAAGCAATCAAAAATTAATCATCAAAAGCTCGCTGGCCTCTATCATCCTTTACGTGTACCCGAGAATAAATGGGATAGCATCTCAATGGACTTTATCATTGTTTTGCCCAAAACCTTTCAAAGAAATGATGCTATTTGGGTTGTTGTGGATCGTTTGACCAAGATGGCTCACTTCTTCCCTGTGAAAATGACGATAAAAGCTTCTGAACTTGCTCAGTTGTTTGTAGACCGGTTATTTAGTCTCTATGGTTTGCCAGGTGACATTGTGAATGATCAGGATTCCAAGTTCACGTCCAAATTTTGGCAAACAGTCTTTGAAAAGCTAGAGACTAAGTTGAGCATGAGTAGTGGTGAGCATCCACAATCTAATGGACAGACAGAACGCATGAATCAGCTATTAGAAGATATGCTAAGGTTTTTTGTGGGAAACTTGACTCGACAGAGAGTATGGGAGAAGTACTTACCTTTACTTCACTTTGCTCATAATAGCGCTCATCAATCAGCTATTGGCATGTCTCCCTTTATAGCAATATATGGCTATGAGCCTAAGCCTCTTGTGAGTTTGAATTTGGCTTTGGTTTGGGTACCTCATGCTTGTGATTTTCTAGAGGATATGCAAAACAAACTTGAGTTGGCAAAGTTGAACATAAGGCAAGCTCAATAACAAGACAAAAGATTAGCTGATGAGCATCATCGTCATCAAGAGTACAAAGTTGGTAACAAGGTTTTCCTTAAGCTGTCAGATGCACAACAGTTTCTGAAAGGAGGTGGCAGTGCTAAGTTGCCTCCATAGTATTGTGGATCTTAGACAATTTTACAGCGTGTAGGGGATCTTGCATACACTTTGGACTTGCTAGTTAATTCAAAAATTCATCCAACATTCCATGTGAGTAAGCTTAAAGCGTGTTTGCACTCTGGTGATATTGTGGATCAATCCATCATCCAAGTCCCAAAGATTGATGCAAAGAAGGTTGGTCCAACCAATATTCTTGCTCAAAGATTGGTGAAAACACGCCAGAAGACAACTAAAGAGTTGTTAGTTCAATGGAATGATTATTCCATGGACGACGCTACATGGGAAATTGAGGATGACATGAAGAGAGTGTTTCCAAGTTTTGGTTATAATTTAGATGACATTTTTGAGGAAGGGGAAAATTGAGTTTTATATCCGTATTGCTATATAATTTGAGCTGTTTGTTCTATTTTCATTCTTTTGTTTCTATGATTATATTGTCATGTGAAAAAGCTATATTGCTTTCTTTCTTTCATGGCCATTTGCTGTGACATTGGTGTTGCCATTTGCACACCTTTTCTCCATGGCCATATTGCCTTTTGACTCCCTTCATGTGAGGCTCGTTTAACTTCTTAAGGCTGCCTTATGTTGCTAGGTCATCAGAACGACACAAACCACAAGAATATTCTGAGAATATTCCATGACCTCTGGGATTTAAAGCAGCTTGGGCTAGGGTTCACTCTCCTGTTCGTTTCAATGACAGATGAGGTAAATAGGACCAACACGCTTCCAAATCTTCGATAATCTTTCTCTATCATTTCATAGGCTCCAGTTCAAAAGCAAGTGGTCTCTCTTTCCAATTCCCTGAGCTGCTTAGAGCTGAGAAAATGCATCAAAGAAAAAGTCCCTCACGTCCTGTTAGACGTCCGTGACGAGCACCAGTACGCCATCAGCGCGCTGCCACAGTCGACAAACATTCCTCTCTCGCAACTCCAGAAGAACAGCCAAGAGCTCCGCGATATCATACTCGACGACGAGAAGATGCCAGTCTTTGTCATCTGCTGGAGGGGGAATAGCTCTCAGGAAGCTGTGGAGCTGCTCAGAAACTCTGGAGTTAACGCCTTGGATGTCACAGGAGGACTTGAGGCGTGGTCCAGAGAGGTAGACTCCAAGTTTCCTTTGTACTAAATCGTTTTTTCTCTACAGGAAAGCTCAAGGTCTTGGTTTTCTTAGAAACAAAGCACTTTTTCTTTCGAGAATCATCAAAAGTTTCGCCGTTAGGTAAAGAGTTTTGCTTGAGAAAGACTACAATGGAAGAAAAGTTCAAGCCAACCAATGGCTAGAACCAACGTATTTTCCCACAGGGAGTTTGATCTATCAAAAACACCATGGCGGTTGTATATAAATCTAAGCTGCATCGTCGTCTTGGGCGCTAGAAGCAAGCGCCTAGCAAACAACAGCAACACAAGGCCCCCAAACTGGAAGAAAAAAAAGGATCAACAAATGCAAAAAAAAAGGGAAGAGCTTCGAGCGAAGCGAGGCTCCAGAGATTTTGGAACTATAAATTTACCATCCCTGGATGAACGACGGGCCTTTGTTGTTCTGATGATTCTCCTCCTGCTTATATCCCGGCTGTTGGACTGGATAGCCCGCTGGAGGATAGCCTTGCGGAGGACATCCCTGGGGAGGATAGCCTTGCGGAGGATACGCTGAAACACCCCAGATCTCTCAGATATCCAGGCAAAGATCTCGCGATTTCTCGCGGCGCTTACCTTGACCATAGCCTTGCGGCGGCGGCGCTTGCACTGGCGGCTTCTGATCGTAGTAGCTCATCCTCTCCTGACTCGTTCGTTTTGCTTTCGATCGTGGTGCGTGTACCCGTTATAAAGGAGGCCATAAACGCGGAATGATATTTCCTAGGCTTGACGGACGGTCACTGCTTCGATAGCAATGGCTGATGGAGCGTGGTCAAGACGGCTTCGGCAGTGCAAGGGTTTATGGGGTTTAGGGCTGACGATGCCCCCTGTTTTTAAGGGTTCTTGAGGATGAGGAAGCTCTGGCGATGGCGACGCGCCAGCTTGCGCCAGGTTCGTGCTCGATTTGTCGCGGATTTTGATTGATTCTCGTGTTTTCAGGGAGAATGCCGTGGCGCGGGTTGTTTGTTTCGAGCATATCGACGCAATGCGGGTCTTCCAGTGATTTGTTCGATGTCTCGGCATTGCTGCGGCTAGGAGGAGCAAAGGCGGCGCTGGATTATCTCGATTCCAGGCAAGGTCGAGATGGTTTCTTGGATTCTTCCACGCTCGCGAGGTTGCTGCTGGATTGTGGAAGATCCAGCGCTCTCGCGGAGGGCCGGCGCGTCCACGAGTACGTTGTGAGATCCAGGTTTGTCCGCGACGCGTTCCTTGGCAATCACCTCGTCCATATGTATCTCAAGTGCCAGAGCTTCGACGAGGCCGAGAGGGTTTTCCAGAGCGCTGCTTGTGAGAGCTTTGATGTTGCAACGTGGACAGCAGTGATCGTCGCTAGAGCGGGGCTCGGGAAATGGAAGTTGGTGTTTGGTCAGCTGGATGAGATGGATCGGAGAGGGATTCCACCGGACAGGGTCATGATCAAGACGTTGTTCACTGCTTGTACCAAGCTCGGTGCTCTGGAAGAAGGGAAACTTATCCAGGATCGTCTAGCAGGAACCCAGCTCGAGCTCGATATTGGTGTGCTCAACCTCACGATCAACATGTACGTGAAGTGTGGTTGCCTAGATGGAGCAGTGCAAACTTTCGCGAGGATGAAGCGACGGGATGTGGTCTCCTGGACTGTGATGATCGGAGCTTACTCACAGGATGGAAAGTTCAGCCTCTCGATCCAGCTCTTCCGGGAAATGCTGCTCGAAGGGACTGCTCCAAACAGTGTCACCTTTGTCAGTATCTTGAGCGGCTGCGAAGCACCATCTTTACTCGAGCAAGGGAGGCAGATTCACGCTCTAGTGGTGGAGAGCAGTCTCGAGTCACACGTCGTTGTAGCGAATTCTCTGCTGGGGATGTATAGCAGATGCCGCAGCTGGGAGGATTCGAGAAGTTTGTTCGACAGAATGAGCATCCGAAACTCAGTTTCATGGTCGACGATCATCATGGCCTACGAGGAGTTTACCGGAGTTACACGAACTACGGGAATATTCCGAGAATATTCCATGGCCTGGCTTTCCTGTTCGATTCATTGGTATTGGAACAGCACGTTCTTTTAGGGATGGCGGGTGAGTAAGATATTGATCTTGATGAGGAGTATGGTGTTAGTGATAATGGCCATGATGATGTGGAAGAGACTCTTAATGATGTTATTGTGTGCTAGATTTCTGAGGTTCAGAGTGACATAACAAGTTTGTGATTATCATTGGTACGTCAAGCATGCCAAGGATTATAATATCGTGGAATGGAAATCATCACCAAATGTTTGTAATAGTCAATAGGTTGATTCTTGGTTGGAATTGTGGGAAAGTTGTTAGTCTCACAATCCTTGTGAAGATAAGGTGAAGATAGATTTCTTTGTGATGAAGTTTATGGGCTATGTTTATTCGTGGTGGAAGAATTACATTAAAGTTAATCCGAAGCCGACTTCTTAGACTGATTTGACAAAGGTTTTCTACACTTTGTTTGTCAAAAAGTTTGAAGAAGTTAATCTCGTGAACTAGCTATTAAAAATCTAACAAAGGACTTTGTCTTTGAATGCATATGCCCGCAAGTTCTATGATCTTTGCCTTAATCTCATGGGCACCTATAATGAGCTGTTAAAAGTGCAATGTTTCATCAAAAAATGAATGAATTGTTCTGAAAGGGTCAATGAATGAATGAATGGCAACATTATCTATATGGATCAGATTTCCATGTGGATTTAGATCATCAATCTCTCTAATATTTCAGTCGACAAAAGGATCTTCGAGATCGCCTTGCTCATTGGCAAGAGTTCCTATAGGAAATGTTTGTTAAAATCCAGTACAAGCATGGAGGTGACAATAAGGTGGCTAATGTATTATCCAGGATGGTAAATTCTATGTTGTTCATAAAGTTATCCAGCGATCTCTTGGATGAGCTTAAGGAGTTTGCTGACTTCGACTCCTTTATCACTAATATTTGCGCGAAGGTTTTGTTGAGGGACGCCTCTACAAATTTGAAGGGTAACAAGTTTGCATCATTCGAAATACAAGATGGAATTCTGGTGAAGAAGGGACATGTAGTGGTTTCTCGTGTTAACAAACTCATCAAACAAATTTTGGTTGAGTGTTATGATATGCCAAGTGTTGGGCATTCGGGGGTATTGAGAAAGTATATTTTGGTGAAGAGGCATTTCTTTTGGCTTGGGAAAGTCAGATGTTGAGAAATACATGCATGGTTGTTTGACCTGCCAAGCAATCAAAAATTAATCATCAAAAGCTCGCTGGCCTCTATCATCCTTTACGTGTACCCGAGAATAAATGGGATAGCATCTCAATGGACTTTATTATTGGTTTGCCCAAAACCTTTCAAGGAAATGATGTTATTTGGGTTGTTGTGGATCGTTTGACCAAGATGGCTCACTTCTTCCCTGTGAAAACGACGATAAAAGCTTCTGAACTTGCTCAGTTGTTTGTAGACCGGTTATTTAGTCTCTATGGTTTGCCAGGTGACATTGTGAATGATCAGGATTCCAAGTTCACGTCCAAATTTTGGCAAACAGTATTTGAGAAGCTAGAGACTAAGTTGAGCATGAGTAGTGGTGAGCATCCACAATCTAATGGACAGACAGAGCGCATGAATCAACTATTAGAAGATATGCTAAGGTTTTTTGTGGGAAACTTGACTCGACAGAGAGTATGGGAGAAGTACTTACCTTTGCTTCACTTTGCTCATAATAGCGCTCATCAATCAGCTATTGGCATGTCTCCCTTTATAGCAATATATGGCTATGAGCCTAAGCCTCTTGTGAGTTTGAATTTGGCTTTGGTTTGGGTACCTCATGCTTGTGATTTTCTAGAGGATATGCAAAACAAACTTGAGTTGGCAAAGTTGAACATAAGGCAAGCTCAATAACAAGACAAAAGATTAGTTGATGAGCATCGTCGTCATCAAGAGTACAAAGTTGGTAACAAGGTTTTCCTTAAGCTGTCAGATGCACAACAGTTTCTAAAAGGAGGTGGCAATGCTAAGTTGCCTCCATAGTATTGTGGATCTTGGACAATTTTACAGCGTGTAGGGGATCTTGCATACACTTTGGACTTGCTAGTTAGTTCGAAAATTCATCCAACATTCCATGTGAGTAAGCTTAAAGCGTGTTTGCACTCTAGTGATATTGTGGATCAATCCATCATCCAAGTCCCAAAGATTGATGCAAAGAAGGCTGGTCCAACCAATATTCTTGCTCAAAGATTGGTGAAAACATGCCGAAAGACAACTAAAGAGTTGTTAGTTCAATGGAATGATTATTCCATGGACAACGCTATATGGGAAATTAAGGATGACATGAAGAGAGTGTTTCCAAGTTTTGGTTATAATTTAGATGACATTTTTGAGGAAGGGGAAAATTGAGTTCTATATCCGTATTGCTATATAATTTGAGCTGTTTGTTCTATTCTCATTCTCTTATTTCTATGATTATTTTGTCATGTGAAAAAGTTATATTGCTTTCTTTCTTTCATGGCCATTTACTGTGACATTGGTGTTGCCATTTGCACACCTTTTCTCCATGGCCATATTGCCTTTTGACTCCCTTCATGTGAGGCTCGTTTAACTTCTTAAGATTGCCTTATGTTGCTAGGTCATGAGAACAACACAAACCACAAGAATATTCTAAGAATATTCTATGACCTCTGGGATTTAAAGCAGGTTGGCCTAGGGTTCACTCTCCTGTTCGTTTCAATGACAGATGAGGTAAATAGGACCAACACGCTTTCAAATCTTCGATAATCTTTCTCTATCATTTCGTAGGCTCCAGTTCGAAAGCAAGTGGTCTCTCTTTCCAATTCCCTGAGCTGCTTAGAGCTGAGAAAATGCATCGAAGAAAAAGTCCCTCACGTCCTGTTAGACGTCCGTGACGAGCACCAGTACGCCATCAGCGCGCTGCCACAGTCGACAAACATTCCTCTCTCGCAACTCCAGAAGAACAGCCAAGAGCTCCGCGATATCATACTCGACGACGAGAAGATGCCAGTCTTTGTCATCTGCCGGAGGGGGAATAGCTCTCAGGAAGCCGTGGAGCTGCTCAGAAACTCTGGAGTTAACGCCTTGGATGTCACGGGAGGACTTGAGGCGTGGTCCAGAGAGGTAGACTCCAAGTTTCCTTTGTACTAAATCGTTTTTTCTCTACAGGAAAGCTCAAGGTCTTGGTTTTCTTAGAAACAAAGCACTTTTTCTTTCGAGAATCATCAAAAGTTTCGCCGTTAGGTAAAGAGTTTTGCTTGAGAAAGACTACAATGGAAGAAAAGTTCAAGCCAACCAATGGCTAGAACCAACGTATTTTCCCACAGGGAGTTTGATCTATCAAAAACACCATGGCGGTTGTATATAAATCTAAGCTACATCGTCGTCTTGGGCGCTAGAAGCAAGCGCCTAGCAAACAACAGCAACACAAGGCCCCCAAACTGGAAGAAAAAAAAGGATCAACAAATGCAAAAAAAAAGGGAAGAGCTTCGAGCGAAGCGAGGCTCCAGAGATTTTGGAACTATAAATTTACCATCCCTGGATGAACGACGGGCCTTTGTTGTTCTGATGATTCTCCTCCTGCTTATATCCCGGCTGTTGGACTGGATAGCCCGCTGGAGGATAGCCTTGCGGAGGACATCCCTGGGGAGGATAGCCTTGCGGAGGATACGCTGAAACACCCCAGATCTCTCAGATATCCAGGCAAAGATCTCGCGATTTCTCGCGGCGCTTACCTTGACCATAGCCTTGCGGCGGCGGCGCTTGCACTGGCGGCTTCTGATCGTAGTAGCTCATCCTCTCCTGACTCGTTCGTTTTGCTTTCGATCGTGGTGCGTGTACCCGTTATAAAGGAGGCCATAAACGCGGAATGATATTTCCTAGGCTTGACGGCAATGGCTGATGGAGCGTGGTCAAGACGGCTTCGGCAGTGCAAGGGTTTATGGTGGGTTTAGGGCTGACGATGCCCCCTGTTTTTAAGGGTTCTTGAGGATGAGGAAGCTCTGGCGATGGCGACGCGCCAGCTTGCGCCAGGTTCGTGCTCGATTTGTCGCGGATTTTGATTGATTCTCGTGTTTTCAGGGAGAATGCCGTGGCGCGGGTTGTTTGTTTCGAGCATATCGACGCAATGCGGGTCTTCCAGTGATTTGTTCGGTGTCTCGGCATTGCTGCGGCTAGGAGGAGCAAAGGCGGCGCTGGATTATCTCGATTCCAGGCAAGGTCGAGATGGTTTCTTGGATTCTTCCACGCTCGCGAGGTTGCTGCTGGATTGTGGAAGATCCAGCGCTCTCGCGGAGGGCCGGCGCGTCCACGAGTACGTTGTGAGATCCAGGTTTGTCCGCGACGCGTTCCTTGGCAATCACCTCGTCCATATGTATCTCAAGTGCCAGAGCTTCGACGAGGCCGAGAGGGTTTTCCAGAGCGCTGCTTGTGAGAGCTTTGATGTTGCAACGTGGACAGCAGTGATCGTCGCTAGAGCGGGGCTCGGGAAATGGAAGTTGGTGTTTGGTCAGCTGGATGAGATGGATCGGAGAGGGATTCCACCGGACAGGGTCATGATCAAGACGTTGTTCACTGCTTGTACCAAGCTCGGTGCTCTGGAAGAAGGGAAACTTATCCAGGATCGTCTAGCAGGAACCCAGCTCGAGCTCGATATTGGTGTGCTCAACCTCACGATCAACATGTACGTGAAGTGTGGTTGCCTAGATGGAGCAGTGCAAACTTTCGCGAGGATGAAGCGACGGGATGTGGTCTCCTGGACTGTGATGATCGGAGCTTACTCACAGGATGGGAAGTTCAGCCTCTCGCTCCAGCTCTTCCGGGAAATGCTGCTCGAAGGGACTGCTCCAAACAGTGTCACCTTTGTCAGTATCTTGAGCGGCTGCGAAGCACCATCTTTACTCGAGCAAGGGAGGCAGATTCACGCTCTAGTGGTGGAGAGCAGTCTCGAGTCACACGTCGTTGTAGCGAATTCTCTGCTGGGGATGTATAGCAGATGCCGCAGCTGGGAGGATTCGAGAAGTTTGTTCGACAGAATGAGCGTCCGAGACTCGGTTTCATGGTCGACGATCATCATGGCCTGCTCTCGGGAGGATTCCCACTGCAGGGATGCTCTCCCGCTTTACCGCTCCATGCTCCACGAAGGTGTGATGCCGAAGACGTTAGCTTTGTCGATGGTGCTCGAAGCTTGCGGGAGCTTGGCGGAACTTAAGGGTGGCAAGCTCGTCCATGCACACGTTATAGAGAGCGGCTTAGAGGGCGACCTTGTGGGGATATCACTCGTCAACATGTACGCGAAGTGCGGTACCGTGGGGGAAGCTCGCAAAGTTTTTGATAGGATCAACAACCGGAGCCGGATTCTCTGGAACTCGATGATCACAGCATACCAAGAAAAGGATCCTCACGAAGCTCTCCATCTCTTCCGAGAAATGCAGCCGGAAGGCGTCAGTCCGGACAGGATCACCTTCATGACGGTGCTCAACGCGTGCGTCAACGCAGCGGATTTGGAGAACGGGAGGACGATCCACACCAGGATAGTCGACAGTGGATTCGCAGCGGACGTTCGCGTTGCGACGGCTCTCTTCAACATGTATGCAAAGTGTGGAAGCTTGGGAGAAGCTCGAGGGGTTTTCGACAGCATGGTATTTCGGGACGTTGTGTCGTGGAACAACATGATTGCTGCCTACGTCCAGGGCCGCGATGGAGAGGGCGCGATCTCACTCTGCTGGGCAATGCAGCTCGAAGGTATGCGACCAGACAAAGCAACTTTTACTAGCCTGCTCAACGCTTGTTCGGATCCTAATCGTCTCGTCGATGGCCGACAGATTCATTCGTGGATCGCGGAGAGCCGGCTGGAGAATGATATAGTCATGGTGACGGGACTCATCACCATGTACGCCAACTGTGGGAGCCTGAACAACGCGAGAGAAATCTTTGACAACATCTTCTCCAACAGTCGGCAGCACCACCGGGACTTATTCCTCTGGACGTCGATGATTACTGCCTACGAGCAGCACGGCGAGTACAGGAAAGCTCTCGAGCTCTACGAGCAGATGCACTCTAGACAGGTCGAAGCGGACAGGGTGACTTTCATCTCGGTTCTCAACGCCTGTGCGCATCTCTCCGACTTACGCCAAGGCCAGGCCATCCACGCTCGTGTCATGCGAAGAGGGCTCGCGACAGACGTAGCAGTGGCGAATTCCATCGTATTCATGTATGGGAAGTGTGGGAGCTTCGACGAGGCCAGCATAGTCTTCGAGAAGACGAAGCACAAGGACATCTCCTTGTGGACTGCCTTGATAGCGTCCTACGCTCGTCACGGTCACGGTGAACAGGCTCTCTGGATCTTTCGAAGGTTGAGGCAGGATGGCATCGAGCTCAGCAACTTAACGTTCGTCGCCATGCTTTCCGCGTGTAGTCACGTCGGTCTCATCGAGGAAGGCTGCGAGTTCTTCGCCTCCATGGCCGAGCTCGGGATTGAGCCGAATATGGAGCACCACAGCTGCTTGGTGGACTTGCTCGCAAGGGCCGGGCATCTACACACCGCGGAGGAGTTCCTCTCGAGAATGCCGGTGGCAGCCAACACCATAGTTCTCACAGCCTTGCTCGCTGCTTGCCGAGTTCACGGTGACGTCGAGAGAGCTCGTCGTGTTGCGGAAAAGCTCGAGGCCTTGGACCCGGAGAGTGAAGCACCATACGTGACTCTCTCGAACATTGAGATGGTACTTAGATTTTTTTTTCTTGGCTTGTCCTTACCTTCTTTGTTCCTTCCTCTTTTTTTTTGCAGGGTGATCATTCCATCTGCTACCTTTGAGTGACTTACACCTGACAATGAGCGTTGGATAAGATGCCTTTTCTATCTTAAGAGGACTAAATCTGTGTCCTTGCGTTAAGGGTAAGTAGCTGTTTAAATAGATTCTAAGCCTTGTAGTTCCGTCGTGATTCTTCTTCTCTTTCGTCAACATAGTTCCTTGTCGGTATCGATTATTCAGCCTGACCCTCAACATTTTTTTCTCATGTTGTGAAGTATCTTGGCAACTAAAAGTCTCGAGAGAAAGAGGGGCAGCGCGCCATGGAGGTCGATGGCGGAGCTTCCAAAGAGCGGCGATGGCTTCCAAATTCCTACGTTATGAAGCTCACGCTGGCGGCCGGATTGGGTGGGCTTCTTTTCGGCTATGACACTGGTAAGCGAGCTTCCTGATCTCTTTTCTCCTTCTTCTCTAATGGAATTGAGCCGCAGGGGTCATTTCTGGAGCGCTTCTTTACATCCGTGATGACTTCCCGGAGGTGGACCGAAGCACGGTCCTTCAGGTGATGCAAAGAACGAACATTGAATTGGTTTCTCACTCGATGGACACCAGGAAACGATTGTTAGCATGGCCATTGCTGGAGCGATCCTGGGAGCTGCCATTGGTGGAAAGATGAGCGATCGTTTTGGAAGGCGGCCCGTGCTGATTGTGGCGGATGCTTTGTTCGTAGTTGGGGCGGTGCTCATGGCAGCAGCAACAAGTGCCACGTTATTGATCGTGGGTCGAGTCTTCGTTGGACTTGGAGTTGGAGTTGCGTCTATGACAGCTCCTCTCTATATCGCCGAGGCTTCTCCCGCGAGTAAGCGCGGGGGACTCGTGAGCTTGAACGTTCTCATGATCACCGGAGGACAGTTCATATCTTACGTTATAAATTTTGCTTTCAGCAAGGTACTTCCTTCTCTCTCCTATATTCGATGTACTGAGCTGATGCTATTTTGGATACAGCTGCCTGGAACTTGGCGATGGATGTTGGGAGTAGCGTGCGTGCCTGCCCTTCTCCAGGCATTTCTCATGTTCTTTCTTCCGGAGTCTCCTCGGTGGCTCTTCAGACAGGTAAAAAACTCTTGAAAATGTTTTTTAACTCACGCGAATGACCAGGGACGAGTCGACGAGGCTGTTGTCGTGCTGACCAAAATCTACCCCGGGGATCAACTGAAAAAAGAAATGGGCGAGCTTCAGGCTTCCGTGGATGCCGAGAAAGAAAACAAGGCTTCGATAAAAGAACTTATTAAATCCAGAGAAATCAGGCTTGCTCTACGAGCTGGCGTTGGTCTCCAGGTACTCTAGAAACTTTTTCCTGAAACTTTGGTGATATATCTTTTCCCACAGATTTTCCAGCAGTTCGTGGGGATCAACACGGTCATGTACTACAGCCCCTCCATCGTGGAGCAAGCCGGCTTCGCATCACACCAGACCGCGCTGCTACTCTCCATGATCGTTGCCGGCATGAACGCTCTGGGAACAATCGCAGGGATAGTCCTCATCGACAAGTTTGGGAGGCGTCGCTTGTCCATGAGCAGCCTCGTCGGCGTCATCCTCGCTCTGGGACTCCTCACGGCCGCGTTCCAGATTACAGCCAGCGACGCTCCAGCGGTGGACATCACCTCCTCGTTCGCCTCTCCATACACTTGCCCGGACTTCTCCAGGAACTCCGCTCGCTGGGACTGCATGTCGTGCTTAAAGCACGACTGTGGTTTCTGTGGAGCCGAATCCAATCAGGCAAGCATAAGCATCCCCTCTCTCTCTCTCTCTCTCTCTCTCTCTCTCTAGAGTCTCTCAGCTTCTAAGACTTGTTCTTCTCCTCGTAGATGTTTGCCGGGAGCTGTTTCATCTCGAACAGAACCGTGGGTGACTTTTGTGGCGACAACCATCGACCGTGGTTCACAAAAGGCTGTCCAAGTCACTACGGGTGGCTGGCTCTCATCGGCCTGGGAGCTTACATCGCAGCGTTCTCTCCAGGTATGGGGCCAGTGCCTTGGGCCGTCAACTCGGAGATCTATCCTCTCAAGTACCGGGGGGTCTGTGGGGGGATCGCAGCCACCGCAAACTGGGTGTCCAACCTCATCGTCGCGCAGAGCTTCCTCTCGCTCACCAAGGCCATTGGAACGTCGTGGACGTTTCTACTGTTTGGAGGGATCTCGGTGGCGGCGCTGCTCTTCGTCTTCTTTTGGGTTCCTGAGACCAAGGGCCTGTCGTTTGAGGAGATCGAGAGGCTGTGGCAGGGGGAGAATCGGCAGCAGCAGCCGCGGGGCATCGAATCCAAAGAAGCCGCCGTTGAGAATGCGTGAGACAGAGAGATCAAAATGGTTTGTGACAAGTTCCAACTCTTTCATGCTGTGATTGATCAAGAAAGTGTATATGTTTTTCTAGTGTATGAGAGATGTGTGACCCATGGGGTGTTTGTTGGTCATCAAATTCTTGCTGCACCAACTTTCCAAAGTTGGTGAATGTGTGTGAATTGAATGCTTAGGATGCTTTCATATATATCTCTTTATGCTCTATTTCTAGAGCTTGGACCACAGAGCAAACACCAACTATGACCAACACCCCCATCAAGTCAGCAATCATGTGAATTTTGTGTTTCTCGCTTTTTATTTTTTTTATTTTTATTTTTATTTTTTTTCTCTTTTTTTTGCTTTTCAGTGATGCAAGCCCTGCACCAACACACAAGGATCAGTGCTGCCAGGACAAAATTTCAAGGAAATCAGGGAGAGTTTGATGAACAAGCAATGCCAACCAGTCACCAGGAACCAAGTGTTGCCAGGTTTTGTCCATATGATGTAAGTTGGAACAAGAAAAAACAGCAAGAGGGCAAGAAAGGTGGCAGGCAGTTTGTGATAAAAGAGAATTTGATGGTCTCCATTTTGATGATGATATGTATATATATATATAATCTTCATTTTGTAAAACAAAATGGAAGAAAAGGATCACTCCTGGGAAGAAATGTTATGATCCATCCAATCAATCCAGCAATCCAATGCCCTTTCAACCTGTGGCTATGGTGACAAACAACAATCTCACCAGAGAATCCATAACGGATTCTTCTCTGCAGACTGCTCCCGTCCTTGCACTGTCTCGCTGCACAGCAATTAAATTCCAAAAACCATGACAGGGATTCTTCTTGGGGTAAAACAAACTCTTTGTCTGTCTTTTTTTTTTTTTTTTTTTTCCTGAGTTGTTCTTCCTTTTATCGATCATGTGGGTTTCTTGCTTGCGATGTTCTCCCATTTTTCGTAATTTTTTTCGACTCCAGAAGATGGAACTTTGGATGGAATTTCTTTGGTGGGTTTGCCAGAGATCCGCAAAAGGACGCCCCAGTTGCTCGTCAACAGGCTTTCAGGCGGCAGTCAGGAGCAACGTGTCTGCGTGAAAGCTGAAAGCTACCAACACCAAGGCGTGCGGTGACTCACTCACTCACTCACTCTACACTGTGAGAAGAAAAGAAAATCTCACTTCCTCGGCATTTGCGCATAGGAAACTCACCACTAGATTCCCATTCTTGCTTATCTTATGGCTGTAGATCGAAGAAAACAACTCCATGATCGATCGATCCATCGCCAAGCTAGCTAGGAAGGACGAAAGCTCCTAAGAAAATGGAAGCTTTGGTAGAGATGGCGGCACGGGTTATTGTGAGTACGAGCGAGCGAGCAAGAAAAAAGGAGAGGGATCAAAGAAACAAGCAGTGAAAAGCGAGAGATTCGCTGGCATGCCCTGTCCGTTATCGCGGAGCGGAGGTTTTTCTTCTCTTTCTTTTTTCTCCCTTTTTTTCTTCGTCTCAGTTCTCACTTAGCCGAACTATAGAACTATAGCCTTAGAAAAATCTCGCACAGCGATCAAAGAAGTGCGTCGAAAGGATCGATTAAAATGGTTTTCTTCTTCTTTGGTCTTGTTCTTCCTCGGCAACCTCACCGACCCTCTGAGAGGAGGAGCGATCCTAGCTAGGATCGCAGCATTTGGGCTCGCGGATCGAGCCAGGAAACGATCTGGGTCGTGGTCATTCCATCCCACCAGCGCCGAATCCCAGATGGGTCTCCTGGCACTGCTCCTGTGCTGCGAGAGGAAGCTCATCTTCTTCCACAGATCTTCATCGCGGGGCTCCAGGCGATTCCGGTGGGAGGAGGCCAATTCGTGGTGGATCTCGGGATGGATCGCGCCTCAGGTATGGTGGTAGCATTTGCTCGTGTGGAGGTGGAGTAGGATCATAGATTATACAGCATAGATGATAGATCTCCCACTTTAAATCCATGGGCTCCAAGAAGGAAGGAAGCTTTGCGGGATGGCTCCAGAGAGTCCGCAAGACAGGCGAGCACAGCGATCTCACAGTCAAGATCCAAGGCCAGGAATTCAAGCTCCATATCCTCCCGCTCGTCAACGAATCCACTTACTTCCAATCCATCAACTCCGCCACCTCCAATTCCAATCCGGATTCTTCCACCACCGCCACCACCTCCAGCTCCAGCTCTTCCGGCGGAGAAGCATCCACCGCCAAGCTCGATCATCAAGATAAAAGAAAACACCACCGCCACCATCGCCACCACCACCACCACCAACAGATCAAAGAGGTGGCCATCGACGAGCTCCCTGGCGGTGCCGCCGCCTTCTCCATCGCCGCCGACTTCTGCTACATCATCCGGCCCAGCTTCACCACCGCCAACGTTGCCGCCGTGCGCGCCGCCGCCGAGTTCCTGGGCATGGCCGATCTCATCGACAGCACCAAGAAGTTCCTCTACTCCAACGTCTTCTTGAGCTGGAAGTCGTGCGTCACCTTTCTCCGCGAGTACCAACCGATCTATCCCTCCACCGACGAGTATATCGAATTGCGAGCTCTCAAGGTGGTGACCGCGGCATGCACGAAGGCGTTCCTCGACACCAAGCACGTCTCAGTGCCGATCTCCTCGCTCGCCATCGCCGCCAGCGCCAGCGCCTCCACCACCTGGCACAGCTCCCCCAGCGCCAACCTCAAGGACGCTTTGATCGCGGTGGCGCAGCTCCCCGATCGCTACTCCATGCAGCTCCTCGATCAGCTCGTTGCCTCGGATACCAACTTGAACATCAAGTGCCGCCAGTCGAGGAGCGTCCGGGAGTGGATCGACTATCTCCTCCGGAGCGAGTGCAAGAGGATCAAGCCCCGGATCTGGATTGTGCTGTGCCTGGCCAGGATGCTGCTCAAGAACGCTCCCAGGAAGCGGCCATGGCTGGAGCTCTCGTCGCAGTACTGGTGTAGCTTGCTGGAGCACGCGGCGGGATTGATGGCGCAGACGGACGATCCGGCGGCGAGGGCGAGCTTGGCGGCGGTGAAGGCGTCGCTCCAGCGGCGGATTGGAGCGAGCTTGCACGAGCTCGATGATTACATCCAGGCGTACAGCTTCGAGCCGGAGACGCTGCTCGCGCTGGTGAGGCACTTCATGGCCGGGAGGAGGAGGAGGAGGAGAGGTAGAATTAGCTCGTCGAGCCATGCAGCGATGGAGGACGAGGAGATGGAGGACCTGGACGACAATCCGGAGGAGGAGGAAGAGGTTGATCGTGAAGAAGTTGATGTGGAGCAAGGGGAGGGCGAGATCGAGGCGGTGGCGAGCGAGGTTGACGGGTGCTTGTGGGGATACGCCGAGAGCGGCGTGATCTCGTGCGAGACTTTTGTGGCGCTGGAGCGGGCATTTCCTCCGGGATCGCGCGGGAACCACGACATGCTCTACTCGGCGGTGGAGAAGATGATCGCCAAGAACAGGCTCGGTGGCGACGAGATCCACAAGCTGTGGAGCTTCGTGGATTGCTCCAAGCTCAGCTCGGGTGTGTATGACAAGGCGATGAGGAACGCCTCGTATCTCTGCCAGCCCCATGTCCTCGAGTGTGTGCTGCGAAGGCACAGCGAGGAGCTCGATGGCGATCACGGTGGCCACCATGCTTCGTCCATCGACTTTCGGGATGTCATGCACAAGGTGATCAAGGCGAGCCTGAAGCTGCTCGAGGAGAACTCGCGGAGGTCGAAAGAGATCAAGGAGCTGCAAAAGCAGTACGCGGGGCTCGTGAGCTCCGGGTTCAAGGTTTATCCGGCTGGGGAGGACGATGGTGGTGATGGTGGCCATGGCCGGGGCGAGGATGATAGTGTTGACGATAGTAACAGCACTGGGGATGATGATAACTACGTTGTTATTCCTCCGGTTCCACCTCGCAGTGAGATCACAGAGATCAAAGCTGAGAGAACTTAGATGGTTTGGGTGGCGGCATTTTTTGTGTAGATACTAGAAAGGTTAAAAGACAGATTCTTCAAAACTTTCTGTTCTCCAGATAGTGGATTCTGCCGCCGTTGCCCTGTATGGGCAAATGCAGAAGTGGAGGTCTGTGACACTCTTTAAGTACCACATTTTGGCGAGGTGATAGTGCTTAAATATATGTGTTTTTCACTGTTTTTACTTTGCTAGATACCGCATTTTCATGGTTTTGGCATTTTGTTTCTTGGAATTCTACCTTTTTATGTTTAAGAGGGGATTGCATAGAGCTCCTCTTGTCTTTGCTCGTATGTATGCTTGTATAAAAGCTTTTGAATTTGCACATGCCCACCACAGATCATAGGAGAAACTAGGGTCACTGCGAAATCATGTTGAAGAGAGAGTTTCTACTTATAAGTGGGGATTATCAATGTAAGGCAGTGTGTCATGTAACCCAGCAGCAAAGCACATGGCTACAATGCCCTGGGATTCTTAATTCCTCTCGGAGTCACTTTCACAACAGCACACAATGCTACTACTTGAGGAGGAGAAAAGGGAAAAAAGAAGAAAAACCCATGCACTCACAAACAACAAGAAGGAATGAATTTCTAGACAGCTCTTCCCGTAAACTCTATGGTTTCCTTCTCTTTTTCTGAAGGGGAAGGAGGCTTGGCTGCTTCTCCCAATCCAGTTGTCAATTATTGTTTCCTGTTTGTCCATCCTTTCACTTTCATTTGCTATGCTGCTATCTGCAGCTGGGTGAAGAGCACTTGGCATGCACGCAGCAGAGCAATGCTACAATGCAGTCATGCAGCAACATCACTGCAACAGTTGAACATCAACACACAAGAAACGAATACCCACCACCAACCCTCTCCAACTTGAGGCTCCAACACACCCTCACAGAAAAAAAAGGAAAAAAAAAAGAGACATAATGTTCAGAAGGAAGAGAGGCCCCTTTTCTTGAAGACAAAGACCCAAGAATTCATAGTTTTCTCACCTTGAAACCTGTGAATTCCTGCCTCATACCATGAAGCATAAGAAATGTTGCTGCAAACCGCATTAAATGGGAAGGTGAGACAAACCAAACTACCAGATGATGGAGAAAGTGAAATCTCCACACCATCTTCTGATCCCTCTCAGCCAGCCAAAGGGCCAAGCAAGGCAAGCCAGCTACAATCCAAGACAGACAACAGGACTGGCATGTACATCTTGCAGCGGCCCAATTAACAAATACAAGAGAGGAAATTGTGGCCTCTTTGCTGGACTTGGTCCCCATGCAGACGCTCTAAACAACTTTCATGGCCCTGAAATCACTCATCTAGTCTCTAAAATCACACTTATCTTAGAAAAGATGGTGGTTTTTATATGAACAAGTTGATTATACAAGGGTGGCAGGGAGAAAGGAAGTTATATAGTATAGATATATGTATATATGTATAAAAGTATATGGCATAACAAGCCAATCCAGCTTTTTATTGGCAAAGCTCACTCAAACACAGCAGCTGCTGGAGGAAGAAAAAAAAATTTAAAAGCACACAAAAACAAGACCACACTGAGATGGAAATAAGAAAGACTCCAAATGCACAGAGACCCTTGCGGGATTCTTCAAAAGCTTGCACACCAACATCAAGAAGAAAGAGAGAAAGAGATCAGAAAGTCCACGGGGGAGTTCGTGACAAAAGTTCACGAAGATCAAACGAAGATCAAACCAAAGAACTCTCACAAAAGAACTCTCAGAAGCAAAGAATATAAAAACCAAAGAACGAAAATGGAGGGGGGAGAAAAAAAAAACAGTGGGATCAAAGTTTTTTTTCTTCTTTTTTTCTTCCTTTTTTTTTCCTCTCTATGCCTGAGCCTTGTCCCGTGGAGCTGCAGGCCACACACAAAACCATCCGTCAGCTTCGCTGTGTATAACATCAACCCGAAAAACCACTCCTCTCGATCTCTCTCGCGCTCGCTCGCTCGCTCGCTCGAGCTCGCTCTCTCTCGCTACAAGCAAAGAAATCCACACAAAAGAGTTTCTTTCTTTTGATCTTCGCAAGATCATGAGAATCCCAGGAAGAGGGCCAGAAGGATTGAGCGTGCCTTCTCAGCGGCAGAGTTCTTCCCTGCCTTTCTCTCTATGTAAAAGTATAATGCAGTGTGTGACTGTGACTGTCTGTGTGGTATCATCTCTGGGTGTGTGCTTCTCAAGGGGGAAGATGGTTTCTATCACTTACCAAGGCCAATCGCCTCGGAGCCTTTCATGATACGAAGCCTCTTCACAGTTCCAGTGAACATCCTGAAAGATCCAAGAGGAAGAGCTTTCGGTAAGCACGGAGAAGAAGAAACAAGTGTAAGCACACTTACCCCCAAGGAACATCACCCACGAGCATCAGATCCCCGTCTTTGTCCTCGTAAGTCAGCACAAAGTCGGAGCTCTGGAGAAAGTTGAGCTTCTTCTCGCCGGGATCACGGATAGACGAGACCTCTGGAGTGCCATTCTGGCCTGTTTAGACACCAGAGGGCCAGCTCAGCTCGGGAATCTCACGAGCAAACCAAAAGATGCAAACTTACCAGTGATGAATCGGAGAAACATGTCCTCGAGAACGGTAGACAGCTTGTCGTAGCTGTTGTTGGCCTTGAGATCCACCTTCCGGCCGATGGGAACGCCATCCATGTACACTTTGACAAACAAGGGACTGGCAGTAGCAGCGTTCGCAGCAGCAGGAGCCGGAGCTGGAGCAGAAGTGTTGCTGCTAACACCATTCTTGGTGGTGGTCTCCGTAGACTTGTGCTGTGGAGGTGGAGGATGAGCCACCAAGTTCTTCCTGAAAGACTGCACTGGGGGCCAGCCCACAACCGGTGGACTGCAAAGACGAAAACACCCAGCATGAGAAAACAAGCTAAGAACTTGGAGGCTAAACAAACAAAGAGGAAAAGAACACACCTTGCCGAAGGAACAGCCTCCTCGGTAGCGTCTTCCTTGTTGTGCGAAGTGAGGCCCGAGCTATTTGGACTCCCGCTGTTGCTATTGTTGTTGTCGACATCGCCCATCTTGGGTGCCATGCGAGACGACGAAGGGAAGGGGCCAAACGAGCTCTTGGACTGCTCCAGACCCATCCTCCACGCCGCTGGAAGCTGCTTGGAGCTGTTCCATGGGTACATGGAAGACGGCATGAGCGGCGGAGCAGTGGCGCTAGCCTTGCCATTGCTGGGCTGCGATGGCGCTGGAGCCACTGGAACTCCAGGATTCGAGGAAGAAGCTCCGCCATTGCCAGTGCCCGGGTTGCTGGGAGAGCCCGCCACCACAATGCCGGGGGGATTGGGCATCACGGACCGCCCCTCCACGAACTGCCCATTGCTGCCAATCGCCTCGGAGAAGACCCTCTTGTTCTTGTTGGCAGCCATGGCCGCGGTGGATGCCACATTGCAGTAGGCGGTATGGCTCATCTCCTGGTGCGCCGCTGGCGATGGCGCCTGGACCTCCTGCGGGATCATCCGCGCTGCTGCCTGCCAGAAAACGTTGCCCCCGGACAGATCTGGCTCGTTGCTCTTCTCGCTCTTGGGCTGCTCGACCTTCTCGTGCTGCCATTTGGGGGCTTCGCCGGCCGCGACATTGTTCTTGGCTGGCTCCTTGCTCTTGGGAGGGCCGAGGCGGAGCTCGGTCTCTCCCAGATTTAGATCCGGCAGCGGCTTGCTGCCGCTATCCGGCTTGAGAGGCATCGATGTTACCTCCGATAGGCCGATGTAGTCGTGCGCCTTGAGCGTGCTGCCGCTGTCGCCGCTGCTCTCCTGGACTATGCACGATGCTTCATCCCTCACCACCGCTCCTCCTCCTGGCGCGATTCCTCCTCCTCCCGCCGCCGCTGCCGCTACTCCTGCCGCCTCCGCGAATCCTTTCCCTGCCGGCTGCTCCACAAACGACATTGACAAGATCAGCGCTCGCTCCAACACCCGATATTTCGACGCGCGCTCCTCGTCCTGACCCTATCAGCGCTCGAGAATCACTGCCGCCACTCCCAGGCCCCCAGGCGAATGCAGATTATCGCGAGCTCCGGGCCACATCGCTCGCCGCGCCTCCTCTCTCGATCGATTCTAGCTATGGAAGCCGCGATCCCTTCCCGTGCCTTGTGAAGCTCTAGCTATGGCGCCCGAGAAGCAAGAACAACAAGTTTAGAGCTCTAGGCTAGAAGGAATGGCCCCCGCCCACATTCATATGCTGCCCAAGGACACCCGGCCTTTACACATAACCCCCTAAGGACAGTGAGCCGGATTGGAATCCGCGTCTGGCGTCCGCGAGGTTGCGGTAAATCGCATTGAGTCCCTCGTGCTCAGGTCCGCCGGCCGACCGGCAGCCACTTCCGTCGCCGGGAATGGTATCCGGTCGGCCGTCCGGCCGTCTTTTAATACAATTTTGCCACCCTCTTTTTACCATTTGTGTAGATTTGCTCCTTTTATCTCCCCGTTTTACCTTTACGAAGAAATTCTCCTCGCCCGTTAGTCTGCGGCACCTTGATGTTTGGGGACGTACATAAAATCGGCGATGAATGCCCTATAAATTTCGTGGGTGGTGGTCATTGTAGTGTAATATAATCCGATTCTCTCCATAAAGTTTAGGGCTCTTGAGATCTCTCTCTCTCTCGTTGGTTGGTTTGGGGGTGTTTTCAAACCACAATGCGTTCCCAACCTACGGAAATTAGGGCATCTCTGCAGCTGGCAATTCGTAACAGCGACAGACAACGCGGAGGAAGTGTGAGGGCTTTGCAATCCAAGCTACCAACCTGTGGCATTTTTTAAAAGCCCTAGCCGAATATTCTACTCGCTCTCGCGAACATGCTCGGTTGGCGCTGTGGTGAGTTGCCTGGGGACATCACCCACAAAACAATGCAAATGATTTGGAGATTAGGGAAGTTGGTTGGGCTATGAAATCTCGAGACAATGGCAAGGAGGGTTATTCCATTTTTCTAAGCTTTGGGCGCATAGATTTTGACTTTGCAAGGTACGCTTTGCCTTGGTTGATGCCATTATTGATGCCCCCAATCCAGCTTTTTAACACTAGTTTTTGGGGAACCACAAGTTGCCCCCACAAGCACAAGGGGCGCAAGCGCATAATCTAATCAGGAACTTGTGCCAGTTTCCATGATTATGCCCGGGAGAACATGGATCCACTGTAGCTGTGAAACAACCCAGGGTGGGGTGACAGGTTTTTTAAGGG